GTAAGCTCCCCTGGGTTGTGCTTCGGTTCTGTCTGTCAACTTCGAGGTGTGGTGTGGTGGAACTCTCCTTGGTGTCAGCACGCTTGAATCTCGGATGCTCATTCCTCTCAAAAAGCCTCTCAGATCGTATTCCAACGCAGGGACACCATGCGAAGTTGGGACAATTTCCGTGTTGCATGGCTATTTCTCCTAGTTCAACGTGACCTACAAACGATGCTCTGAAAGTTGCAATTATAAAAAATATACACACGAATTTCTCAGCAATGTCAGTACACCGCTCGTCTCAAGTGTCAGTCAGTTGAGTAAGTGCGGCTGAGTGAGTTCATCTGACTCGCATACTCCGCTCGTCACCCGACACATCGAGACTAGCTACTTCTGACGCAAGATTGGGCATGAGATGTTTTCCAGCCTTTCAAACTACGGGGTAACATCTGACGTAGACTTCCATTCGAAAGCAAATAAAATAAAATAAAAAAAAACAACCAGGTGTCCCAACTTCGGATGGTGTCCCTACGTAGGAATACAATCTCACACACAACTGAGCAGTTAAATGAAACCGAGGAGTTGCAATACAGCTGACCCTTTTTAGGGAGCTGGTGCTGCTACCTCGGACTAACGCATGCTTGCTCCACAGACGTCTTAGTCTCATGATGTCCGATGGCGTCTCTTTTGTCTTATCAGCAACCGTGTAGGCGAGGTCTCGCCAGCCAGGGAGAGCGAGGTTTCCCTTAACTGGTAGTAATACCTTAATTACGAATCGTATCTCCTTCGAATTATCTCGTTAACCGTTCAACTATAGTTGGTTCACATCATGCAGTAGGATCACATAGCAGTATGCGCATGGAACTATGCGTGATAGTTTCACCTTAGTTCCGAATCATCACGTCCCTAAACCGACCGATGAGAGCAGCTGTATGTAAGAACAAGCGCTTTACCCGCGTCCTCTCCCCGCTTCTTGCTCGCCGGGACGCGGCTATGGCGTGCCGCGTCGTCCACCCACAACAGTCGATCATCCTTCAGTCGACTCAACAGTCATCTTCGGTTTCCAGCGTTAACCCACCGCAAGGTTCCTCACTCATCTCCGCATCCCACTCTGACTCTCTCAACAGCAGCGGCGCTTCTCCTTGCGCTATTGTCACACGGGGCTTTAGTCACAGAGCCGTTACACCCACCTACGGTACCAGAGCGCTCGTATCCAGCAGCCTAGCCCGCGCTCCTCCAAACCCTAGTCCGTCCCTCCACAGCCCCTCCCACCTTCCGAATTCCTGCAGACCGTTCTCCTCATCGCGACCCGCATCCTCGTTGTTGTCGTCCTCGTTATCAACATCCGTGTTCCCTTCGCTCGCTTCTCGCCGTGTGTCCCCTCCGAAACGAGTCCGTCAGTTCCCGAGAGCCAGCCATTCCCAACGCACCCCGTCGGAGGTAGAGCACACAATACCTGACGGACATCACACACCCTGCGAAGCAGCACCCTCCGAATTAACCTCAGAATCACAGCAAAACGCTGTGAAAGCGGCAGACGAACCCGCAGCGAAGGCACATTCGGAGGGTTCTAGCTCCGGTGCTACCGAAGCTGCCTCTGGAGATGCTTCCGAAGCTAAGGAGGAGGTTCGGAAGACGGTTTTGGCGGTGAGGAGGCGCCGAGCCGGGGGTTTAGGTTTGGCAGGGTTCGGATCGGACGGCGATGGCATCGTATGGAGCGACCTTCTAACGGTGCCTGGCGTGGGGCCGCGAAACCTGGCGAAGCTTAAAGCGAGGGGGTTTCGCGAAGTCGCGAATCTGACTCAACTGTACAGAGATAAGGTGAGACAATTGCTCAAAGGATCTTGGTAGGAGGAGAGAGAGGGTGGGGATACGAGCGAGCGACGTTTGACTTCTGTCCCTAATATTTTCCCCACCCCCTCCTCCCCCTCCCCCCCTGACTTCCTCTTTTTGCTATGCTCTTCCTTCCCGTCGCCACAGTTCGCCTTCCAGGAATCTTCCAAGGGTCGGAGCGCGATGCAGGAGTATCTGCAGAGCCACGTGGGCATCATCCGCAGGGACCACGCCGCGCGAATCACGGACTTCGTCTGCCTGCGCGTCGCGCAGGAGGAGGGCGGAGCGGACGCGGACGACGCGGGGGCGGACGGGGAAGGCGCGGGGGAGGGCGCGGGGGAAGCCGGCGCGGGGGAGGCGGAGGGAGGCGCGGGGAAGGGGCGGAGCCTAGGGAAACACAAGAACAGGCTCACGTTCTGCGTGGAGGGGAATATAAGCGTGGGGAAAACGACGTTCTTAGAACGAATAGTAGGCGACGCGGTAAAGCTGCATGACTTAGTGGAGGTGGTTCCTGAGCCGGTGGCGAGGTGGCAGAGCGTGGGGCAGGAGAAGTTTAATATTCTGGAAGCGTTTTATGAGGAGCCGGAGCGGTACGCTTATACGTTCCAGAACTACGTGTTTGTAACGCGGATGATGCAGGAGCGCGAGAGCGCGGGGCGCGTGCGGCCAATCAGACTGATGGAGCGATCTGTGTTCAGCGATAGAATGGTGCGTGGGATGGGGATGTGAGGGGGAGTGAGGGGGGGTGACAGGGGGTGAGGGGGTGAGATGGAGTGAGAGGGACGACATGGGGTGAAGCAGGAAAGGTGGGGACAAGAGGCGGGGAGATTGGTGGGGAGAGAAGAGAGGTGTGTTCAACGTTGACTCGAATAGCACTGGCGTGCGGTGGATGAGGGTGCTGCAGACACCAGTGCTCGATGACAACAGGTTTTCTAAGATTCCTCAAGAAACGAAAATGGAGAAACAGGGACCCTCGCTCCTCTCGTACTTTGCGTCTCCCCTCCCCCCCCACCCCACCCACCATCCGCTTCCAACCCCCACCCCCTCCCCTTTATCTCCTCGTTCCGCCAGGTGTCTGTTAGGGCAGTCCACTAAGCGAAATGGATGAGTGCGATGGAGGTGAGCATATAGGACTCGTGGTTCGACCCTCATGTCCCTGCTCCCCCACCCCCATCCCACCCAACATCGATCTCACCCGTTCCCCCAGGTCTTTGTGCGGGCAGTGCACGAGAGGTGAGCATATACAACTCGTGGTTCGTCCCTTTCTCATCCTGCTCTCCCCTCTCTCTCCGACCACATCCACCTTTCCTCCTGCAGGTCTTTGTGCGGGCAGTGCATGAAGCGAAGTGGATGAGCGCCATGGAGGTGAGCATATACGACTCGTGGTTTGACCCCGTGGTGGCAGCCCTCCCAGGCCTCGTCCCAGACGGATTCATCTACCTGCGCGCGCACCCCCTCACCTGCCACCAACGCCTCAAGCAGCGCGCGCGAGGAGAAGAAGCAGGGGTTTCCCTGGACTACCTGACCGACCTGCATAACAAGCACGAGCAGTGGCTGCTGCCTGTGGACTCGGCCGAGGAGAGGCCGAGATTCTCTGTTGTGCAGCCGGATTGGTTGAAGGAACGGGAGGAGGGGGAGGGGGAGGAGGTGGGGGGAGAGGGGAGGAGGATGATACACCGGAGATCATCAAGGGGAGGGTGTTTGCTCTGGAGGGCGAACACCTGCACTCGAGCATCCAGCAGGTGAGGGGTGTAGGCGGGAAATGGAATAGAGTTGGTTCTCAGGAGTTGGTAAATGGCGTCATTCATTTGCACTCAAGCATTCAGCAGGTGAGAGGGCGGGTGATGGATTGTAGAGCGCTCATGCATAAGCCATGCTATGGCATGCAGAAGCACATTCATGATTGTATAGCATTTCTGACCGTGCTGCTGATTTCTATTGGCGGCCTAAACCCACACAAGCGATTTTGTCTGTAGGTATGCAAGTACCGGTGTTGGTGCTGGACTGTTGAATTCACCTGAGAGTCATATGAGTTTCAACCTGCCGTCTCTGTTTCTTCCCCTTCTCTCCATTCTGCCTGCGCTTGCTTGCATACAGGTGCCAGCATTGGTGCTGGACTGTGATGCGCAGATCGACCTCATTCGCGATCAAGATGCAAAAGAAATGTAAGAACCGTCTCCCCATCCCTCGTTCCACTGATGGTGCCTCCTCTCGCCCTCACCACCTCCTTGCCCTAACCACGTCCTCGCTCGCACCACCTCGTTGCTTGTTTCACCCACCACCATGTGTTCGCCGCAGGTACACGAAGCAGGTGAGTCCCTCTTGACTTAGTGCAGCAGGCAATGCGTGCCTCGATGAGATCTCAATGCACCTCTTTCCACCGCTTTCCACCTGTTTAAAGGTACACAAAGCAGGTGCAGACCCTCTTTGACACTTGGTGCAGCAGGCAATCCCTGCCATGTGACCTCAATGCACCCCTTTCCACCTCTCTCCACCACCGCAGGTACACCAAGCAAGTGCAGGCCTTCTTTGACTTTGTTCAGCGGCGCAAGGAGCAGCAGAAGCAGCGGCAGCGGCGGCAACGGCAGGGAGCAGGCATTTCCCCCGATTCGACCCTCATCATTCCTTCCTCCCCATCTCTCTCCATGCCACCTGGGATAAGCTTTGACCCCTCGTCCTTGCTCCGCGCATAGAAATATTGAAATACCGTAAAGGCTGAGAGAACTGACGCAGTAGGTGCCGCCTCGGATATTGTATCAGCTTTGGCACCAACTGGTGTTGGTTGGTGCTATTAAATGTGTACTGTAGTGTTTTCTCTTTTAGCTCCGCAATAAATCTAGCAGTTCTGATGGCTCTGACTGAACTGCTAATCATTTGACTGATCATTTTGCAGTGCAACATCAGGAAAGTCAAACTGGAAGTACAGGTACGGTAGGTATATAATGTACACTATAAACCATTGTACAACGTTTTTGCAAATGCAATGAAAAGTTGACGGCAAAAAACAATTCAGCTCCCTGAATGGAAACTTAGTAGCAGCCCTTGACAATGATGGCTAAATCGCCTTATTCCAAGCCTCCATTCTACCTAACTGCCCATCTCCACTTTATTAGCCTTCCGGTACCTGCACTGCCAACTCCCTTCACAGGTACGGTAAATCCTCTATTTCCCATGGTGCCTCTCCCCTATTGCCCGTAGTGCCTCAGAAGCCACCTGTTCCGCCCCTCCACCACCCACGGCATCTCCATTATCTCCCTTGCAGACGGCCGCTCACTAGGCTTTGCTGCCAGCAACTGCCGCACCACCGCTTTAGCTTCCCCTGACACGCCCATCCATGCCGCCGTTCCCATTGGCAGCGCCACCCGCCGGATGTTTCTCAGAAGCGCCCTCGTGTCGCGGCCGGAAAAGGGTAACTGCCCGCCAGAAAGGGTCAGGAAGAGGCAGATGCCAATACCCCAGATATCCGAGGGGTAACCGGTGGTCAGCCCTCCGGCGACCTCGGGGGAGATGTAAGCAGGGCTGCCCACCATTCCGCGTCGCACTGTACCGTCCTCCTTGACCCTCTCAGCCAATCCGAAATCAGCTAGAACCAACCGCTGTCGCTGCACCTGCTGCTGCCGCTGCTGGTGCTGCTGCTGGTGTCCCGTCTCGTGCTCCTCCCCTGACAGTTCGTCTAACGACGGGTTGCTTGCAACGGGGGTGATTCTACGCGACGCGGACCGTTGCAGCGTGCTCGTGACAGTAACGAGCGCCACGCGCTTCTTCAGCGAAACCCCGCCGTCTCTGCTCAAGCTGGCTCGGTGCCGGGAGCGGCGGGAATTGCGATGATCGCGCGTTTCTGTAGCGGCGCTGGCGGCTGTAGCGGCTGTAGCAGCGGAGGAGGAAACGGGCGGCAGCGAGATGAGCACGTTCTCTGGTTTGATGTCGCGATGGACGATGCCTTGCGAGTGGAGGTACGCGACAGCCGACGCGAGCTCGTATGCCACCCACGCCGCCTCGTCCTCCCGCTCCTGCTGCTGCCGTCGCGCCGCGCCGAACGCGCCGCGCTCGAGGAACGCCAGGGCGGAATAACCGGCGGTAGCGGAGGATGTAGCGGGGGAGATTGCGTGGTTTGCGACCTCGCGCCGGCTCTCCGCGGTCAACGCGTCGTGATCGTCGTCGATCTCCCGTCCCGCGTCAGACGCAGCGCAAGATGAGGAGAGATCGTCGGAGCTCAATTGGCGCAGGCGGTGGGCAAAAGACTCCGCCTCCGCCTCCCCCTCCCCCTCCGACTCTGCGCCCTGCTCGTGCGCCGATAGCTTCCCCCCTGCGTTCCCCGCGTGGCCTCGATCCACGGCAGACGATTCGATCGCGGTCGGGGCAGCAGGTGCGAGGCCCGTTACCTCACCGCGCCGCCGCTTCACGAGGTAACTAGCGAGCGAGCCGCCGCGGCAGAGCTCCATGACTATGTACATGTGGCGCCGCCCCTCTATCACAGATAACACCTCCACCACATTCGACCGCCCTTCCGCCTGTCCTTCCGCTTGCGCGTCCCCCTGCCTTCCGCCAATCGCCTGGCTAATTTCCGCCTCTCCGCGGAGCAGGCGAAGGGTGGATTCCGCCTCCGCCTTGTCCTTCTTGCGGAAGATCGACAGCGCGGCGCATTTGTACTTATCCTTAGGGATCGCCTTCACTGCCACGTGGACGCCTGTTTGCCTATCAACCGCCTCGTGAACCGTTCCGAACCGACCTGTACCGATCTTCTTGCCGATGCGGTAACTCTTGCGAATGTCCTCTATGTTCGACGTGTTGGTCGCATTGGTCGCCGTCACATGCGGCGCAAGCTGCGGCTCGTTGGCGACATGGGACTCCGCCATTTTACCTCCTAATTCCGCTTATGTGCGAAATTTAACAGCTCTCAGTGCGGGAAGTGCGCGCTGCACAACAATCTGGGTTTCACCGCTATTGAATTTTAGGGTGGAGGACTTTGTGATGCGAGACTGGAGTTTTCGGACTGAGAAACAATGCCAACACTGTTGCTACTTATCAGGAGCGAAGATCGGAAGAGAACTGATGTTGTTGGGTGAAAGATTTCTTTAGCTTTGCTGCGCTGGATGCAAGTATGGTTGGAATTGGCTCTTGCAATTTCGCGCCCTTCTATTTATGCTCAACAGTTCGAACAAGAAGGGAGAGTGAAAGAAAGGTTTAGTACGACGAGGTGTGTTAACAAGCGGTTCCACGGTGTGGTCGGGATGTACATGGCGTCACTCACCCGCAGCGCGTGGTTTCGAGAGACCGCGTGGAAGGTTCGACATGGTGGGCTGGTTGCGTCACTCGGCGCGCGAAAATGGTTGGTTCCGGGGGGTGAGGGAATACGTGGCGGGATCCGGAAGCAGCACATGGTTCCCGAGGGTGGCGGGTTTGCCTTGCCTGCGCTCCGCCCTTGGGCTTTGCGGAGAGGTGACGTGATGTGGCGTGAAGATGAAGCACCCCAGCGGTTACAGCGCTCGCCCCAGCTGGCTGGCTTGCGGAATCTCACGAAAAAACCCTCTTTCTCCGCCAATAGGAGAGCTCCTCCTGTCTGCCTATCAGCCTCGGTTCCAAATCACATCTTGTACAGTTACTGTTCACACTGAGTTTTTGTCTCATCCTTTTGGCCGTTTGTTCCCTGGTTTTCCGCCAGCCCCTCAATGCTAGGACGGAGTACCAAGATCGAGCAACCGTAGCCGTCGATCAACTCTGCTGACGCAACAGAACTAGCGGAAAGCCAAGGGGCCAGAGTCCTGGAATGCTCCCCTCTCCCTTCGTAATTTCTAGGTGGCTTCTTCGGTGTGTTGTTGCGTCATCCCGTGCTTGGGGATTGCTTTCCCGCCTAGCCAAAAAGGCTTTCGACGAACGCAGACAAACTGAGACCAACCAATCGTTGAGCTCCAGATCTTCTGGCTTCTGGCTGCCTTGCCCATCAACGACTGACGTCAGGGAAAATGGTTTACGAACTTTCGTCATCTGCATTTGTGAACACTCAAGCTGTTGCCGATTGATCAAATAACAAGGACTACACTTACTTCTTTACCTTACTCCTAGATATTTCAAAGAGGCACCAAGGAACAGCTGAACAATGCACAACCACGCATCCAGATGTGCTTAATCAGCCGAATTTAATCAAACTAAGCCTGACATTTTTCATCGACCTTGCTTCGAACTACCTACTGTTCCAAATTCCATACCACCACCATTGCTACCTCCAACGTCAGTAACACCAGAAGCACTTGTGGCATTGGTCGCACCAGGAGCTTCTCTCTCGCCGCCCTTCCCGATACCTGAAGCTGTATCTGAATCTGAGTTCGAGAAGGATGCTGTTGCTACTGTTGAAGGCTTAACAACACCCTCACTCATCATCGCAGCAGCTGCTGCTCCCAGTAACGGTGGTCCGGTCTCCCCTGCACCCCCTCGCATCACTGCCTCTCCTGATGCCAACACTCGCCCACCAATGCTCCTTGCTTCGCCTGCTGATGCCAGGTCAGAAGCACTCGTGCCTGTTGCGCTGGTGGGATTATTCCCGCCCAACCCACCACCACTCCCACCACTCCTATCACCACAATCCCCGCTATCACCAGTGCCAGCAGGCTGTGTATTTGCACCAGCTGAAATGACATCAGCAGCAAAAACAGGCACAGGTGCTACCTCCACTCCCACCCCCGTCTCTTTATCAGATTCCAGATTTTTACCATCACCACCCTCCGCTTCATTCCCACGCTTTCCACCCTCATTCAGCCTCGTTGATTTCTCTACCTCACTCTCCTCCTCGTCCCGGCTTGAATTCCCCCCTTGTCTCTCCTCTCCCTCGCCCTCCTCATCACCACCGTCCATTCCCAGTGCCTGTTGAATCTCAGCCTTCCAATCAGTTTCATAACCCCCCTCCCCTTCCACCTCGAACAGTATAGCCTGCTGCATTCCGTCCCCCTCCCCCTCCTTCCCTTTCCCTCCCTCCTCTTCTTCTTCCCCCGTCCCCCCTCCTTCCACTCCTTTTCTACCCCCCTTCACCTCCCGTTCTTTAATCGTCAGTCCCCTGCTTTGACCCACTGCCGCTGTGCCTCTATGTGTGTCTGAGCCTGTGCCTGTGCCTGTGCCTGTACCCGTGCCTGTGCCTGTGTTTGGGGGAGTTACTTCTGGTGGTTGGGGGGGAGGCGAGAGCACTGGGGCAGGAGGAGCAGAGGAGGCAGAGGGGGAGGCAGAGGGGGAGGCAGAGGGGGAGGCAGAGGGGGAGGCAGAGGGGGAGGCAGACGAGGGTGTGAGGGAGGGAGAGGAGGGCACAGGAGATGGAGGGGAGGTGGGGGGCACAATGGGGTTGGGGGAGGGAAGGGGAGAGGAGGGAGGCGGATAGGAGGCAGTGGGAGAGGAGGGAATGGGAGAAGGGGGAGGGTAAGTGGAGGCAGGAGCAGGAGAGGATGGTTGGGCTAGAGGCTGGGATTGTTGGGATTGGGAATGGGAGGGCCGGGGAGGAGCAGGAGTGGCGAGAGAGGGAGGAGACGCAGGTGGTTGTACTGAGCCAGACGGGGATGCTTGTAAAGGGGGTGAGGTGGAGAGTTGCCGAGGGGCAGACATAAATGCTTGTGCCTGCGACAAGTCTGCCTGTGCTTGGGAGGGTGCTTGTTGGTTGGATGGTGGATGGTTTGAAGGTTGTTGGGTGGATGGTGATTGGGTGGATGGCAAGTTTGCCTGAGAGGGTGGTTGGGGCTGAGATGGCGGTTGGGTTAGTTGCTGTGATGATGGTTGTTGCTGAGATGGTGGTGGCACAATGGCTGGAACGGAGGGCGGTGATGGTGGTTGTAATGGTGATTTTGGCTGTGATGAGAGCTGTGATTGTGATGATGGTACTGGCGATGATGGTGGCATCGCTGCTGGCATTGGTGCTGACATCGATGGAGGCATTGATGCTGAGGACAGTGGTTGTTCAGGGGGGGAGCGAGCAGAGGTGGTTGGAGAAGGGGGGTTGAGATAATCCCAAGGAGGCGGAGGGGGCGTGGAGGGGGGGGTTGCTGCTGATGCCATTGCTGATGATGGCGCTGCAGGGATCGATGCTGGTTCTGCTGCTGATGCTGCTGCTCGTGGTGCCGATGGCACTGGTGGGGGTGCTGATGCTGACGACAATGGTGGTGGGGGTGCTGATGCTGATGGTGATGGTGCTGATACCGATGGGGATGGTGCAAGCACCGATGCTGATGAAATCGATGGGGACGATCTAAAATCCCCCAAGGGACGCACACCTGTGCCCCCACCGCCCCTCTTAGCCTGCTCCTCTCTCCACCGTGCTGCACGCTGCTCTCTCAGCACTTCCCGCCTGCTTGCCGACACGCCACTGCCACTGCCACCACCACCAATGCCAGCACCAGCACCAGCACCACTGCCACCGGCACCTGCACCTTGCTCACCCATTCTTTCACCTGCTCCCGTGGTTGCTCTCAACCCTGATGAATCTGCTGCACCGCTCCCTGCTGCACCGCTCCCTGCTGCACCGCCCCCTGCTGCACCGCTCCCTGCTGCACCGCTCCCTGCTGCACTGCTCCCTGCTGCACCGCCCCCTGCTGCACCGCCCCCTGCTGCACCGCTCCCTCCTGCACCGCTCCCTGCTGCACCGCTCCCTGCTGCACCGCCCCCTGCTGCACCGCTCCCTGCTGCACCGCTCCCTGCTGCACCGCTCCCTGCTGCACCGCTCCCTGCTGCACCGCTCCCTGCTGCACCGCTCCCTGCTGCACCGCTCCCTGCTGCACCGCTCCCTGCTGAACCTCCCATTCTTTCAGCTGCTACTCCCTGTGCTGGTGCCATCCGCATGACTGGTTGCCCTGGCGTGGCTGGCAATCTACCTGCTGTTGCTTGCATTCTGCTTGCTGCATCTCCAGTCGCTGCTGCTGCTGCCGCTGATGGTGCTGGCACTCGTGGTGCCGCAGCTGCTGGTGCTACTGGTGGTTGCGCTGCTGGTGGTGGTGCTGGTGCTGCTGCTGATGCTGCTGGTGGTTGTGTTGCTGCTGCTGCTGGTGGTGCCGCTGCTGCTGGTGCTGGTGGTGCTGCTGCAACAGGTGCACCACCCGAGGTCCTAGCAGTCTGTGGTGTGGTTGGGGAAGGAGCACCAGAGACGTTGGTAGGAGCAGCTGTAGCGGAGGGGGCAGGGGGAGCTGAAGGAGAAACAGGGGCAGCTGTAGCGGAGGGGGCAGTGGGAGGGCGGGGGGCAGCTGAAGCAGAAGGGGGAGCGGGAGAGCGAGGCGCAGTACCAGACGTGAAAGGTGGATTGACATTTGCAGCTGCAGCAGGGGAGGTAGGAGAAGTGACAGGAGCAGCTGTAGCAGAGGGGTTGGGGGGAGTGACAGGGGGTGCTGGCACAGAAGCAGGGGGTTGCCTTGGGCTGCTGGCATTCCCAGGTGGGTTAGTGGGGCCTCTGGGAGTTGGTGGTGAGGGCGGAGGAGCAGAGGGTGCGGTGGGTGTGGGGGGAGAGGGAGAGAATGGTGGAGCAGCAGAGGGAGGAGGTGGGCCCGTAGGAGTCCTTGCAGAAGGAGTGGCTGTGGTGGGTGGAGCATTAGCGGGTGGAGCATTAGTGAGTGGGATTGTGTTGGGTGCAGCAGCAGTGGGTGGGGCACCGGTGGGTGCGGCACCGGTGGGTGCGGCAGTGGCAGGTGGGGCAACAGGAGGAGGTGAGGCTGCTGGTTGCCTGATAGCAGGGCCACTGGTTAGCGGGCCAGTGCCAGCAGTGGTGGAGGGAGAGGGGGACGCCAGGGGAACGGGGGAGGTTAACGGGATGGCTGAGGGGGGAGGAGTTGGGGAGGAAGGAGGGATTGAAGAGGGAAGAGGGCTGAAAGCAGCAGCAGGAGCAGGCTTTGCAGGGGGCTTCTGGGGAGCAGCGGAGGGGGGCTGAGGAGGGGCGGGAGGATAGGGAGCAGAGGGGGGATGGGGAGAAGGGGTGGCGGGGTTGACAGGAGGATAGGGAGCAGAAGGGGGATGGGGAGATGGAGGAGGGTTGGCAGGGGGCCTTCCCTGAGTGGAAGGGGTGGGGGCAGGGGAAGGGAAGGCTGGAGGGGCTGATGGGGAGGCGGGAGGGGGAGGCGCGCGGGGTGGGGAGGGAGGGCGCGACGAGGGCGAGACAGAGGGAGGGGCTGATGAGGGGGCGGGAGAAGGAGGGGGAGGTGATCGTGGAGGGGAGGGAGGGCGTGATGAGGGGGGGACAGTGAGAGGGGCTGATGAAGGGCTGGGAGGAGGGGGAGGAGGGATGAAGGGCTGTGTGGGTGATGACGTGGATTGCTGCATGGGAGGTGACGTGGATTGCTGCATGGGAGGTGACGTGGATTGCTGCATGGGAGGTGACGTGGATTGCTGCATGGGAGGTGACGTGGATTGCTGCATGGGAGGTGACGCGGATTGCTGCATGGGAGGTGACGTGGATTGCTGCATGGGAGGTGACGCGGATTGCTGCATGGGAGGTGACGTGGATTGCTGCATGGGAGGTGACATGGGAGGCAGGGGAGAGGAGATTGGGGGAGGAGAGGAGGAGGAGGAAGGAGACGAGGAGACAGGAGGGGAAGGAGGGACAGAGGAGTAAGAGGAGGGTGTAGCAGTACTGGCACCACCAGAAGCAGCAGCACCTGAACCACCACTACCAGCAGCAGCACCAGAGGGAGAGTGATGCAGACCGCCAATAGCAGCACCTGCGTCACCTGCACCACCGGGCACACCATTCCCACTCACGCCTCTGCTTGCACCTCCATTCGCTCCCAAAGTTGCATGCCCATTCACCTCCCCTCCTCCCTGCCCTGCTGCCCCTGCTGCTGCTGCTGCCCCTGCTGTTGCGCCCACACCTGCCCCCACACCTGCGCCCACTCCTGCCCCCACTCCTGCCCCCACTCCTGCTCCCACACCCGTTCCTGCACCATTCCCAGCCCCGACTAACACTCCTCCCCCACCCCCTGCCCCAGCTCCTACTCTCGCCCCATTCTCAGGAGCCCTCACAGCCCCACCAACCCCTCCTCCCGCAGCTCCTCCTCCCGACCCCCCTCGTCCCCCTCCTCCCACACCTCCTCCCGCACCCCCACCTCCACCACCCCCGCCCCCGCCCCCACCCCCTCCTGCTCCCCCAACGGACCCAGCACCTCCCACGCCCAGCCCAGCAGCAACTAGCAGTGCGGGGGGTCGCATCTCCTCCTCCTCGTCCTCATAATCCTCTTCCTCCTCCTCGTCATATTCGTCCTCATCGCTGTACCCCCCCCGTGCCACCTCGCCCTCGTCGTACAGCCTCTGCACTGAGCGGATGGGCGTTGCTAGACGGGCCCCATGCTCGAGAATAATCTTGTACATCTCTAGCACCACGTTCTCCTGAGAAACCGGGAAAGGGTGGGGAAGGGGGAAAGGACACGGAAGGTATGGTTTGGGCCCGCATCTCCTCCTCGTCCTCATAGTCCTCCTCTTCCTCTTCTTCGCCGAATTCGTCCTCATCGCTGTACCCCCCCCGTGCCACCTCGCCCTCGTCGTACAGTCTCTGCACGGAGCGGATGGGCGTGGCCAGGCGAGCGCCATGCTCGAGAATGATCTTGTACATCTCCAGCACCATGTTCTCCTGAGGGGTGGAGGGCAGGGTGGGGAAGGGGGAAAGGCACGAAGAATATGAGGCACATCTCCTTGTCCTCCTCCTCGTCCTCATAATCCTCTTCCTCTTCCTCCTCCTCAAACTCGTCCTCATCGCTGTACCCCCCCCGTGCCATCTCGCCCTCGTCGTACAGTCTTTGTACCGAGCGGATGGGGGTGGCCAGGCGAGCGCCATGCTCGAGAATGATCTTGTACATCTCGAGAACGACATTCTCCTGGGGAGGGGGGAAGGGAATGGGGGAAATGGGGCGTTGGAGGAAGTGAGAGAGGAGTAAAGGGGAGTGGTGGTCATCGCTGTACCCCCCCCGTGCCACCTCGCCCTCGTCGTACAGTCTCTGCACGGAGCGGATGGGCGTGGCCAGGCGAGCACCGTGTTCGAGAATGATCTTGTACATCTCCAGCACCACGTTCCCCTGAGGGGTGGATGGTGGGGAGGGTAGGGTGAATGCAGGAGGGAGAATGTGAGGGTTGATAGAACGACGCACGAGGCACGCCCCGTGGTCCAAGATGATCTTGCTGTACATCTCCAGCATCACGTTCTCCTGAGGGAGGGGGGAAGTGCAAGGAGGGTATGGGAGTTGACAGGAGAGCAGTAAAGGCGTCGCCAGGCGAGCCCCGTGGTCGAGAATGATCTTGCTCTACATCTCCAGCACCACGTTCTCCTGAGGAAGGGCATGGAATGTATGGGAGTTGACGGGACAGCAGTGAGAGGCTCGTGAGACGAGCCTCGTAATGATCCAATATGATCCTGTACGTCTCCAGCAAGTTATCCTACTGGAAGCACCTTAGTTCATCTTTACAGCATCCATGCTTGCACTTGCGCAGTGTACTCACGTGCGTGCTTCCGGCACCCCCTCTTCCTCACCTTGACTCGCAGGTACTCCTCAAAATACGGCGTCTTGACGAAGCACGAGCACATGATCTGCATGAAGAGCGGTGCAGAGGGGTGCAGAAACGTGGAAGTGGGCGCAGGGGGTACAAGGACGTGCATTGAGATGCAGCAAGGATGGCACAGGGGGAGGGATGGAGAAAGGGATGCCATGGCGGTGGTGGTGATAGGCTACCAACCGTCCATACACCCAACACATGCCTGCATGCTCCCCTCTTCTCTTACCGTCATGGCCTGCAGCTGCTCGTCAAGGCGCTCCACAAACACACGTCGGTGCAGATGGCGTTGCTCCAGCAGGTGGCGGCAGTAATGCCCTTTTTTAAGTCGACTTAAAAACCAGCAGGTGGCGGCAGTAATGCCCTTTTTTAAGTCGACTTAAAAACCAGCAGGTGGCGGCAGTAATGCCCTTTTTTAAGTCGACTTAAAAACCAGCAGGTGGCGGCAGTAATGCCCTTTTTTAAGTCGACTTAAAAACCAGCAGGTGGCGGCAGTAATGCCCTTTTTTAAGTCGACTTAAAAACCAGCAGGTGGCGGCAGTAATGCCCTTTTTAAAGTCGACTTAAAAACCAGCAGGTGGCGGCAGTAATGCCCTTTTTCAAGTCGACTTAAAAACCAGCAGGTGGCGGCAGTAATGCCCTTTTTTAAGTCGACTTAAAAACCAGCAGGTGGCGGCAGTAATGCCCTTTTTAAAGTCGACTTAAAAACCAGCAGGTGGCGGCAGTAATGCCCTTTTTTAAGTCGACTTAAAAACCAGCAGGTGGCGGCAGTAATGCCCTTTTTTAAGTCGACTTAAAAACCAGCAGGTGGCGGCAGTAATGCCCTTTTTCAAGTCGACTTAAAAACCAGCAGGTGGCGGCAGTAATGCCCTTTTTTAAGTCGACTTAAAAACCAGCAGGTGGCGGCAGTAATGCCCTTTTTAAAGTCGACTTAAAAACCAGCAGGTGGCGGCAGTAATGCCCTTTTTTAAGTCGACTTAAAAACCAGCAGGTGGCGGCAGTAATGCCCTTTTTTAAGTCGACTTAAAAACCAGCAGGTGGCGGCAGTAATGCCCTTTTTAAAGTCGACTTAAAAACCAGCAGGTGGCGGCAGTAATGCCCTTTTTTAAGTCGACTTAAAAACCAGCAGGTGGCGGCAGTAATGCCCTTTTTTAAGTCGACTTAAAAACCAGCAGGTGGCGGCAGTAATGCCCTTTTTAAAGTCGACTTAAAAACCAGCAGGTGGCGGCAGTAATGCCCTTTTTTAAGTCGACTTAAAAACCAGCAGGTGGCGGCAGTAATGCCCTTTTTTAAGTCGACTTAAAAACCAGCAGGTGGCGGCAGTAATGCCCTTTTTTAAGTCGACTTAAAAACCAGCAGGTGGCGGCAGTAATGCCCCTTTTTAAGTCGACTTATAAACCAGCAGGTGGCGGCAGTAATGCCCTTTTTTAAGTCGACTTAAAAACCAGCAGGTGGCGGCAGTAATGCCCTTTTTTAAGTCGACTTAAAAACCAGCAGGTGGCGGCAGTAATGCCCTTTTTTAAGTCGACTTAAAAACCAGCAGGTGGCGGCAGTAATGCCCTTTTTAAAGTCGACTTAAAAACCAGCAGGTGGCGGCAGTAATGCCCTTTTTTAAGTCGACTTAAAAACCAGCAGGTGGCGGCAGTAATGCCCTTTTTTAAGTCGACTTAAAAACCAGCAGGTGGCGGCAGTAATGCCCTTTTTAAAGTCGACTTAAAAACCAGCAGGTGGCGGCAGTAATGCCCTTTTTTAAGTCGACTTAAAAACCAGCAGGTGGCGGCAGTAATGCCCTTTTTTAAGTCGACTTAAAAACCAGCAGGTGGCGGCAGTAATGCCCTTTTTAAAGTCGACTTAAAAACCAGCAGGTGGCGGCAGTAATGCCCTTTTTTAAGTCGACTTAAAAACCAGCAGGTGGCGGCAGTAATGCCCTTTTTTAAGTCGACTTAAAAACCAGCAGGTGGCGGCAGTAATGCCCTTTTTAAAGTCGACTTAAAAACCAGCAGGTGGCGGCAGTAATGCCCTTTTTTAAGTCGACTTAAAAACCAGCAGGTGGCGGCAGTAATGCCCTTTTTTAAGTCGACTTAAAAACCAGCAGGTGGCGGCAGTAATGCCCTTTTTAAAGTCGACTTAAAAACCAGCAGGTGGCGGCAGTAATGCCCTTTTTTAAGTCGACTTAAAAACCAGCAGGTGGCGGCAGTAATGCCCTTTTTTAAGTCGACTTAAAAACCAGCAGGTGGCGGCAGTAATGCCCTTTTTAAAGTCGACTTAAAAACCAGCAGGTGGCGGCAGTAATGCCCTTTTTTAAGTCGACTTAAAAACCAGCAGGTGGCGGCAGTAATGCCCTTTTTTAAGTCGACTTAAAAACCAGCAGGTGGCGGCAGTAATGCCCTTTTTTAAGTCGACTTAAAAACCAGCAGGTGGCGGCAGTAATGCCCTTTTTAAAGTCGACTTAAAAACCAGCAGGTGGCGGCAGTAATGCCCTTTTTAAAGTCGACTTAAAAACCAGCAGGTGGCGGCAGTAATGCCCTTTTTTAAGTCGACTTAAAAACCAGCAGGTGGCGGCAGTAATGCCCTTTTTTAAGTCGACTTAAAAACCAGCAGGTGGCGGCAGTAATGCCCTTTTTAAAGTCGACTTAAAAACCAGCAGGTGGCGGCAGTAATGCCCTTTTTTAAGTCGACTTAAAAACCAGCAGGTGGCGGCAGTAATGCCCTTTTTTAAGTCGACTTAAAAACCAGCAGGTGGCGGCAGTAATGCCCTTTTTTAAGTCGACTTAAAAACCAGCAGGTGGCGGCAGTAATGCCCTTTTTTAAGTCGACTTAAAAACCAGCAGGTGGCGGCAGTAATGCCCTTTTTTAAGTCGACTTAAAAACCAGCAGGTGGCGGCAGTAATGCCCTTTTTTAAGTCGACTTAAAAACCAGCAGGTGGCGGCAGTAATGCCCTTTTTTAAGTCGACTTAAAAACCAGCAGGTGGCGGCAGTAATGCCCTTTTTAAAGTCGACTTAAAAACCAGCAGGTGGCGGCAGTAATGCCCTTTTTTAAGTCGACTTAAAAACCAGCAGGTGGCGGCAGTAATGCCCTTTTTTAAGTCGACTTAAAAACCAGCAGGTGGCGGCAGTAATGCCCTTTTTAAAGTCGACTTAAAAACCAGCAGGTGGCGGCAGTAATGCCCTTTTTTAAGTCGACTTAAAAACCAGCAGGTGGCGGCAGTAATGCCCTTTTTTAAGTCGACTTAAAAACCAGCAGGTGGCGGCAGTAATGCCCTTTTTAAAGTCGACTTAAAAACCAGCAGGTGGCGGCAGTAATGCCCTTTTTAAGTCGACTTAAAAACCAGCAGGTGGCGGCAGTAATGCCCTTTTTTAAGTCGACTTAAAAACCAGCAGGTGGCGGCAGTAATGCCCTTTTTAAAGTCGACTTAAAAACCAGCAGGTGGCGGCAGTAATGCCCTTTTTTAAGTCGACTTAAAAACCAGCAGGTGGCGGCAGTAATGCCCTTTTTTAAGTCGACTTAAAAACCAGCAGGTGGCGGCAGTAATGCCCTTTTTAAAGTCGACTTAAAAACCAGCAGGTGGCGGCAGTAATGCCCTTTTTTAAGTCGACTTAAAAACCAGCAGGTGGCGGCAGTAATGCCCTTTTTTAAGTCGACTTAAAAACCAGCAGGTGGCGGCAGTAATGCCCTTTTTTAAGTCGACTTAAAAACCAGCAGGTGGCGGCAGTAATGCCCTTTTTTAAGTCGACTTAAAAACCAGCAGGTGGCGGCAGTAATGCCCTTTTTAAAGTCGACTTAAAAACCAGCAGGTGGCGGCAGTAATGCCCTTTTTTAAGTCGACTTAAAAACCAGCAGGTGGCGGCAGTAATGCCCTTTTTTAAGTCGACTTAAAAACCAGCAGGTGGCGGCAGTAATGCCCTTTTTAAAGTCGACTTAAAAACCAGCAGGTGGCGGCAGTAATGCCCTTTTTTAAGTCGACTTAAAAACCAGCAGGTGGCGGCAGTAATGCCCTTTTTTAAGTCGACTTAAAAACCAGCAGGTGGCGGCAGTAATGCCCTTTTTAAAGTCGACTTAAAAACCAGCAGGTGGCGGCAGTAATGCCCTTTTTTAAGTCGACTTAAAAACCAGCAGGTGGCGGCAGTAATGCCCTTTTTTAAGTCGACTTAAAAACCAGCAGGTGGCGGCAGTAATGCCCTTTTTTAAGTCGACTTAAAAACCAGCAGGTGGCGGCAGTAATGCCCTTTTTTAAGTCGACTTAAAAACCAGCAGGTGGCGGCAGTAATGCCCTTTTTTAAGTCGACTTAAAAACCAGCAGGTGGCGGCAGTAATGTCCCATGCCAACTCATGCCTGCATGCATGCTCCCATCCCCCCATCCTCTCATCCCCCCTCTTACCGTCATGGCCTGCAGGCATGCTCATCAAGGCACTCCACAAACACACGTCCGTGCAGATGGTGGTGGTGGTGGTGGTGGGCTGCCAATGGTTGGTGGCAGTGCGAATACTACCAACAGCCCAAGCATCCATGCCAACTCATACCTGCATGCTCCCGTCGTCTGCATGCATGCTCCCACCCCTCTCATCATGATGGCCTGCAGCTGCTCATCAATGCATTCCACAAAACACACGTCGATGCAGATGGCGCTGCTAGTGGTGACGGTGGTGACACCCATGCCAACACATGCCTGCATGCATGCCCCCATGCCCCCATGCCCCCATCCCCCAACCCCCCACTCACCATGATGGCCTGCAATTGTTCGTCAATGCGCTCCACAAACACACGCCTGTGCAGATGGCGCTGCTCCAGCATGGGGTGCTTGCCTATGAACTTGCGCATCGCCACCAGGATGTCCTGATGGGGGGGTATGATGGGTTTCGTATGGCACAGGAGCAGAGTGGTAAGAGGGTAGCTGAAGCTTGAAGCATGAAGCTCTCCCAGGTGGCGCTGGGTGCTTGCTTGCCTATGAACTTGCGCATCGCCACCAGGATGTCCTGATGGAGATGATGGGATATGGCGTCAAAGGGAAGAGGGGCAGACTAGGGGGGTTGGGAGGAGAGGTAGAAACGGCAAAGGGGTGTCCCAGATGCCGCTGCTCCAGCATGGGGTGCTTGCCTATGAACTTGCGCATTGCAACCGGAATGTCCTGATGGGTGGGAAGGGATGGGAAGGGGTACAGAAGGCAAGCATTGATGCATGTGCTCTCCCAGCATCGTTGCTCCAGCATGGGGTGCCTTGCCTATGAACTTGCGCATTGCAACCGGAATGTCCTGATGGGTGGGAAGGGATGGGAAGGGGTACAGAAGGCAAGCATTGATGCATGTGCCCTCCCAGCATCGTTGCTCCAGCATGGGGTGCCTTGCCTATGAACTTGCGCATTGCAACCGGAATGTCCTGATGGGTGGGATGCATGCGCACATGGATGGTGGGGTGGCGGGGTTGGGAGGAAGGGAGCGAAACAGAAGCTTACAGGCAGTTTGGGCCATCGAGATGGCCAATGCCAAAGTGGATTCTGACGCGCCAGAGGTTGCGTTGCGTGTGCTCGTATTGTGAATGACAAAATCGTACACAACACATGTCAGAAGAACACGATATAGGGGCTTACCGGCAGCTTGTTGACGTCGAGATGACAGACGCCGAAGTAGGTCTTGATGCGCCAGTGGTTGCAATGTGTGTGCTCAAGTTGCAAACGACTCAACATGAGCTTTCTGAATTGACTCAAAAGTCACCTCAAATGAGAGGATGCTTTGTCTCACCGGCAGCTTGTTGACGTCCAGGTGGCACACCCCGAAGTAGATCTTGATGCGCCAGTGGTTGCGCGTGCTCATGTTGCGGATGACAATCACACTGAACTTGTGGTTGGGGATGTGAATCGCCTCCCTGTCGTCCCCGCGCACCAGTGTTGGCTCCCACCACCCCACGTGCTGCAGGGAGCAGGGGAGGGGGTCAAAGGGAAGAAGATGGCACCGGGAGGAGGTGCAGAGCAAACCCGTCCTGGAATTTGTTGGGTCAAAAAAGAATGAGTCCTAGAGATCCACTGCCCACTGATGCGTCACACAACCCACTCGTTCACCATCAAGGGACTACTGAAAATGCGCCACGCCCCACCTCACCATGTGCACTGCTCACTGCTCGCTGCTCACTGCTCACTGCTCGCTGCTCACTGCTCACCTCCACAGTCCCAGATATCTCCTGGCCATCAATGCGACACACGATCCACTCGTTGACCATGAAGGGGCGTGCAGCATGGATCATGATGGAGGAGAGGAAGTTGGTCACGATCTGATGAGGAAGGGGAAGGAGAGAAGGAGGGGGGGGGTGGGTGGGGGCGGGATAAAGGGGTGTTGAGTGGGGTGCTGAACTGGGAACTGTATTGCAGGCATGGATCATAATGGATAACAAGAAGTTGGTCACGATCCCACCTCTCTTGCTCTCTGCCATGCCGCAACACACACCTCTCTGGCCGCCAGGGTCACTACAACAGTCCCCAGCCCTCCAGCGGTGATCCACTTCTGAGTGGAGAAGCCCAACAGCTCCATGAAGAGAAAGACACCAAGTCTTATACGCCCCTCTAACTAAACCACCTCTCTTGCTCTCAGTACATCCCCCCCCCCACACACACGCGCACCTCTCTGCCGCCAGGGTCACTACAACGGTCCCCAGCCCGCCTGCGGTGATCCACTTCTGAGTGGAGAAGCCCAGCATGAAGAAGAAGACCAGGTCGGAGGTCGGACCCGCCTCTCAAAACCAAGCTCTCTTGCCCCCACTCATCGCGACACACACATGTACACCCACCTCTCTAGCAGCCAGGGTGACCACAACGGTCCCCAGCCCTCCAGCAGTGATCCACTTCTGAGTGGAGAAGCCCAGCAGCTCCTTGAAGAGAAACACCAACTCTAGTATGTTACTCACGACACGCCTCTCTTGTTCCCAGCTGTCGCAACACGCACCTCTCTAGCAGCCAGAGTGACCACGACGGTCCCCAGCCCTCCCGCAGTGATCCACTTCTGAGTGGAGAAGCCCAGCAGCTCCATGAAGAGAAACACACCAAGTCTGATACGTCTCTCTAAACCCACCTGTCTTCCTCTCAGTCAACTTTCAGCGCGCACCTCTCTGGCCGCCAGAGTCACAACCACAGTCCCAAGCCCTCCAGCGGTGATCCACTTCTGAGTGGAGAAGCCCAACAGCTCCATGAAGAGAAAGACAGCCGCCACCCACACGAGCGTGTACACCGTGTTGCCCACGAACTGCACTCCCACCTGGAATTTGTGAGGGCGGAGGGAAGAACAGGAAATTGTGAAGGGGGAAGTGGTAACTTGTATATGATATGAATACTGCCGCCACCCACACGAGCGTGTACACTGTGTTGCCAACGAACTGCACTCCCACCTGCAAGAGAGGAAGTGGGGGAGAAACAAAGGGGCAAGCGGGAAAAAAGCGGGACATTGACATGGCAATGTGCATATACCTGGCGTATCCTGCCACCCACATGTGCGTGTGCACCACTGGAAAGAAAGTATAGGCAAGACAGCGTGACTGTTACACCGGTATGTGGGCCAATGGTTGAGTGGGTAACTCACGTTTCGGGTCTCCTCCTTGTTGCTCTGCTTCTCCATCATCTTCTGTATCTGCCGAGTTAGGCTGCGATGGGGGATGAGAGAGATAAGGTAAAAGAGGTGGTCGAATGAAACGCCAGCCATTAAAGAGGTGAAGAGTTGAGGATCTGAAAGGGAAGTGCCACTTGGGATCTGACAAGCATGGTGGAAATAACCCATCAGCAGACTAAGCAGACTCAAGAGTAGAGCCTCAAGTATGACAACCCAGAATGTACGACGCAGCAACAGTGATCTCACTTGGCAGTGCAGAAGGCGAAGACGAGCACGGTGGAGAGTGATCGCAGGAAGTTGACAAAGCGGTCCTTGATGAGCTGCCCTGCCTCCGTGGGCATGCTGAACGGCTGGAAGCAGCTGCGGGAGCAGGAGGGGAGAGGGGATGGTGGGGGGGAAGGGGAGGAGTGGGATGAAGTGGGTGAAGGGAGTAAGAGGCAAAGCAGTCTACAGGGGCAGATTGTTGGGGAGAAGGCGGGCATTGGCGACAAAAGGCGCAATCAAGCCACTCACCCATAGAGCACGAGCACGCAGCCCCAGAGGATGAGTGGGCGCACATACGACACCATCACGTGGCGAGAGCGCGATGACGCAGGCTCAGAGAATCAGTCAATGCATGATCTGTCAACTCACCCACAGAGCACGAGCACGCAGCCCCAGAGAATGAGCGGGCGCACATACGACACCATGACGTGGCGAGATCGTGATTCCTCCCAGTTGGCGTCGCTCTTTTTAATCACCTTCCTGCACAGCCGCACCAGCGGCCCCAGCAGCCAGATGGCCCCCGCTATAAGCATCAGCGCGGGCAGCACAGGGGAGAGAGGGTGGTGCAGCCACTCTAGAGGCACCTTGCCTGCCGCCATGGCCTTTTTGAGAAGCTTTGTGAAGATCTCGGAAAGAGGAGGCATGTGGTTGAAAAGATTTGGGAAGGGGAATTTCAATAAGAAGGGAATGGCTCCTGCTGCTGCTCCTGCTGCCCCTGCTGCTCCTGCTGCCCCTGCCCCTCCTGCCGTTGCTCCTGCCCCCCCTGCTGACGCTCCTGCTGCCCCTGCTGCTCCCGCGGCTGTCCCTGCTGCCCCTGCTGCTGCTCCTGTCCCTCCTGCTGTTGCTCCAGCTGCCCCTGCTGCGCCGCCCGCTGTCCCTCCTGCTCCTGCTGTCCCTGCTGCTGCCCCTGCTGCTGCCCCTGCTGCTGCTGCTGCTGCTGCCCTGCGCCAGCAGCAGCAGAGGCACGGACTAGAGTGCGCAACCCTAGCCTGTTCCTACCCACGTGAAAGCCTAACGAACCACCTACGGGCCCTCGCCGTTGGCCGTACAGAGAACTCCGATATAAACACGTACGATTTAACGAATTAGGACGCTGCGAATGCGCACGGGGGAATCTGGAAAAAAATGCTGCGCAAGCAGCAGACGAGATAGAATTGGGAGCAACCAATACTAAATTCGTTGAAAATTCGTGTGCAGTAAAGTCTGCTGGTAACGACGGTGCGGGTAAACCTGCGGGTGAGCTCCGTGCTACTGGTAACCAGACTCCATCCACACCCCATCTTCTGAGACCATGCGTGCATCTTGTCCGTCCACTCAAATCTACAGCTTCGTGTTGACCTGTTCTCGAATCGACGGCTCTCCGTCCACCTGAATTCGAATCTACGGCTTCCCGTCCACTTGTTTCAAAATCTAAGCCTTCCCACCAACATGATCTTAACTCTAGGGTTTCAACAAACGGCTCCCTGACTGCAGCTCGACGGCTTCTGCTGCTCCGTCTCTTGAGAACGATGACGCGGGATAACGAATTCGGAAACCCGGAGATTCTGATCGGACGGTGCGCACGGACTACGAATGATCTGACGGCGTGGATTGGCCTGGAGCGCGGGACTCCGTGTAGTGCTCTCTTTTTGTGATTCACACCGGGGGATGATCTGGGGGATCTTGATGCAGCAGCAGCAGATGTGGAGTCGGTTCCAGAGCATGTTGCTTGTAACGATGCTGCCTTTAACGCGGCTGTGAGAGTGATCGCGAGGACGGCTGCGAGTGAAGAGGCCACAGAATAGATCAACGAAGCTGCTGCTGTCGCTGTCTCTGTCGAATCGGCTGTTCCGTTGCTCTGACTGGCGGGGTCCGCGTGCGTCTGTCGCAACGGTGAGACAGTCACACGGTGGAAGCCAACTCGGCTCGCCTGCTGCTTGTACCTTGGCGACCAAGACGCGTTGCTAAGGCGAGCTGCCACGCGAGCGGGCCGTCTATACGCGATAAGGGACGACGTTTCCCGAACCGTGCGAGGCCACGGCCTTCCATGGGGAGCGCTCGGGGTTTTCGAAGCGGATGTGCTTGTAACGGGCGAGGAATGTACAACGTGGGGAATGTGCTTGCAGTACGAGGAGGCTAGCAGGCACGCCATGGGAAGCTGCAACGCCGACGAGCTAGAGGAAGATCACGCCAAGTAACGACGCGAGTCAAGCAGGCACGACATAAAAAGCCTGCTGACGTGCGTATTTGTTCATGGTCGGAGAAGTCAGGCATGAACAACCCGGCACTGCATTTTCCCCGACCTTGTATAGAAGGAAGAACCAAAAAGAGAAATGGAATACTTCTTTAACAAACTTGTCCGAAGCAACAACGCTTGTGATCGCTAGAAAGCTAGATACGCGAGAGCCTGGCGGAGCTTTCAGGCTGTTGCTTCTGGACAGGTAAATCAGAATCAGGAGAGCGAGAGGGAAAGATGGATCTCAATTTGCAGCAGTATTTCTGACTGCAGTGAAATACCGCACTGACACTACCGCAGTATTTCTTTCGACGAGACTGACTGGTACGTGCGTGCGCCCTTGGGATTGGCTGCGATGGCTTCTCCCCGCTTTGGGAATGGATGGACGGAGCTGTACTGGCTCGCCGCACGTCAACGAAGAACCTCCTCCCCAGCGACAAAAGTGCGAATGTTACACGAAACCATTTCACAACTTTCTCTCCCAAAAGCCTTCTATGCATATGGTAATTCTGGTGCTGAAAAACCTAAAATGAGCAGCATCATATTGACAAGGAAGCAAGGCGACAATGAAAGGGGAAACATTTGTATCCTCTTGGAAGTTATCGCACCAGCAGCCTCGGTTTCTCAATAGCCCCAGTTGTGGTTGCGAATCTCCTCGTCAAACTTCTCCTTGAGCTTGGGATTCTTGGCCAAATACTCATCCACCGTCATCGTCTTCAGCGCATCCTGTAGAGTCGCAATTGGCACATACAGGTTACAACAGGTGACAATAGGACATGACACATGAACGGGGCCATAACATCAAGTTTGGAGGAACAGTCCAGACAAACGTGAAGGGCACAGAGAGCAGCAATTTGCCCAATATGCAAGAATGCCACAAAGCATTGGCATCTCACATTTCAAGACCTAAACCCTGAAGTCGCAATGGGCGGCATGTGCACGCACCTTCTGTGCTCTGATCTTCTCAATCTCAGCTTTAAGACGGGCTGCCTCACGCTTTGATGCCTCCTCCTCCTCCGCTGCCTTGGCCACCTGTAACAGTTACCACAGTTGCACACACACAGATGCATGCACACACGCACACATGTATGCACACTCAAATCACAAACCAACACATAACCCACACTCCCCCCAACCCCCCTTCCCCCTTCCTCCCCAAAACAAACCATACGTCATGCAGGAGATGTAAGTCAGAGCATGAAGTGACACAAGATGCAGCAATGCAAGTGAGAGATGGGATTACAGCATAGACACAGGAACGACCCTTGTGACACTTCAAAACATGTAAGTCAGAGCATCTAGGGCCACAAGACGTACATGGGAGAGAGAACCATGACATACACACAAGGGTGGGGATGGGCTGTGGAGAGGGTGCAGTAGCAGGCTGAGGAGCAGGGTGGGGCAGGGATGGGCATGCAAAAGCCGAGTGTGGAGTGGTGGTGGGGAGCGAGAGGAGGGAGAGGCGGGAGAGCGAAGGGCGTGCAAGGTGCGGGGGAGCATGGGTTAGGGTGCTCACGAGCTGCTGATGCTCCTTCTCAAACTCGGGGGTTAACGTATCCACGTAGTCCGGGATCTCTATGCCTGCTCGCCTCAACCGCACATCCCCCAGACACACACAAAGAGAAGATACGAACAGTGAGAAAAATGGGGCGAGAGAGGGAGAACAAGAAACACTTTTTCCAGTGAATGGGAATATCCTATCCGACCATTCTCATCCTCCTCCATACCATCCCCTTGTCTACACTAATCCCACGCACTATGCAAGGCTATGCAAGAGACTCACTCTTGTACGACTGCTCGAACATGTCAACGATCTTGGGGTTGAGCTTTGAGCGGTACAGCGCCCAGTCGATCTCCACCACCTTCTGCTCGCATGGATGCAACGAGGGGTGACAGGGGAGGGATGTGGAGCACCGGGCATGAGCGGGACTGATGCAAGGCGCAGGGCGATTTGTTAGCCACCTCGGAGCGGTACAGCGCCCAGTCGATCTCCACCACCTTCTGCTCGCGTGCAACGAGGGATAACACGACAGGAAACCGGGACACTGGGACACTGGGAAACGACACGTATTAGTGGGAGTTGAGTCAGTAGCCACTTGGTAGCGGTACAGCGCCCAGTTGATTGCCACTTTCTCCTGCTCGCATGAAAGGCAGCACTACAGGGAATGGGAACCGGAGGGGCACTGACTGCACTGCCGTTGGTCATTCCAGTAAAAACGACATTCTCCCGCAGGATACAGATGTTAGGGTTACGTGCGAAAGAACGCCAACAGGCTGTATGCGACCACAGCGTCGCAGAAGAAAAAGGGAGATTCGACTGGCCTTGGTGACCCTACCGTCGCTACTGGCCTGGGAGACTGTAACTACAGAGACCTTCGCGATCTTCGCAACCTTCGTCACCCTAACAACCTTCGCGATCTTAGCGATCTTCGCGACCTTGACCTAGTTACGAAGACGAAAACGAGTCATGCGGCTTCATGAGGCAAGAACGACAGGAAACGGCAAGATATTGATACGCTGACTGTAGAGCGAAGATTCTCCGCGAGTGAAAATGAATCTGCGGAACTGTGTGCGACACTTCCTCGCGTGCGACATCTACTCGTATGCGAGACCTCGTCGTGCACGCACTTCAGGGTGGACTCAAAATCCATCTACCGGCGGCGGAGTAACGCTGAGGACGCATTCCCACACTACAGCAGGTAACCAGACCTCGTTGAACTTCGTGTTGAGCGTGTGCGACACCTCGTCGTGCGCGCGCTTGAGAGCCGCCATCTCGCGCTTGCCCTCCTCGCTCACCACCACGCGACTCAGCTTCTCCCAGTCGATCGCCTTGAATGCCCGCTGCACCGCTGCCTTGCCACTCATCCTGGCGCTTCGGAAAGAGCGAGAGATTTAAGGATCGGGATCGGCGCACGTGAGCGCGGATGGGTGGCAATTAGCGCGCGCGAGTGGCGGAAGAATGGCGGGAGTGGAAGGTGGTGGAATGACGCGAGACGACTGGGGGTGCAACGGGGTGATGGCGAGAGGACTATGGCCGTGACTTAGGGACTGGAATATAACTAGGTCTGAGCTGAGAAAAGGTGGGTGATACAATCGAGAGATAGCTTAATTACACCAGAACAACTATGTTTTAGACAAATCAAGATTCAACTGTTTCCGCCTTATGTTTTAGGGAGTCTGTCTGTCCATACCGCGTCAAAGTTTTGCTCGGCTTGAAATGAGGCGCGGATGGCGCAAGGGTCAGGCGACCATTTCGCAGAGATTGAATTATTGTTTGTCGCAGATGCTCGCTCATTTCGACAGTGCTGAAATAGCACCTCGTGATTGGATGGAAATGGTCAGTCATCGCCTCTGGTAGCCCAATAATGCGAATTTCGTCGCTCAGCACGGCACGGCTCCAGCGGAAATAAATTCAGACATTGGTGGCCCTCACAACTCGCGGTCCGTACAGGATCCATGCAGAGCGGTTTCGGATAATTCACACTCATTCTGTCGTGGTGCAGAGCGGTTTCTACGAGGTCCTCCGTCCAACCACTTTCACCCCTACGCCTACAAAGGAGTCGGGGAAGCGGCCCTTGTTCACTCAACCTTTCTTGCCTGATCCTTTCCTGTGTGGTGCCTCAGCAAGTTGCCTGTCTATCCCACTCTTTTAGTGTGTTACTTTCCTGCTTCCTGTCCCCGTGACGTACATTTCAAGCCGTTTTGAGCTTTGCTTTAAAGTCCAATACTTCATCGAGTTATCGACCAGCTTTATATCGCACCGGCCAAGCAGAGGATATGGAGCGCCGCGCTTCGTCCTTTTTCGCCATCTTGCTAGCCGTCGCAGTGGTTCTGTTCTGCGCTTCGGCGCGTGTGGATGCGCTATCGATGGCCCGCATTGGAGGCAAATATACTGACGTCAAAGGCGCCGCAAGCAACAAGGACATCCGGTCACTGGCGCAATGGGCCGTCAGCGAAATTAACAAGCAAGAGGTCAGACCGTATCCACGCTACAACATCCCTTCGCGAAACTTCGCTTGCATCGGACCTGACGACGAAACCCGTCGTTGATGACTCGGCACGTAACTGATTCTCCCAGAGTTCGTCGCCAAGGGGATGAATTCTTAACAGATGTTACTATAATGGATACTCTAAAAACACTTACACATCCACAGTCATAACTGGTCAAGCGGATGATATTGCGGCGAATCTTCGTCCACCATTACCACCGCCGCGACCACCGCCTCCTACTCACGCGGCTTTCCCCGTCTACTATTTCTTCTCCTCATCCCTCTTCTCCCCCCACTACCTCCCCCACACCCTCCCTCCGCCGCTCCCCGCATTCCCCATCACGCAGGGCACGGCGTACAGCTTCGTGTCGGTGGTGTCGGCTCAGACAGAGCTCGAGGTTCCCAGCAGCTGTCGCGTCAAGATCAAGGCCACCGACCTCTCCGCCCCACTCACCCCTCACCCTTCCCCCCCTCCCCGCTACCCGCCTTCCCACCACGCAGGGCACGGCGTACAGCTTCGTGTCGGTGGTGTCGGCTCAGACAGAACTCGAGGTTCCCAGCAGCTACCGCATCAAGATCAAGGCCACCGACCTCTCCGCCCTGCCCTCTAAGAGAGCCTACACGCTCGGAGGCGGTCCTTCCGCCGGCGCGGGCGGCGCGGGCGACGCGTTCAAGAAGGTAATGTCGATGCTGCGAGGCGGCAAGACGACGATGCCGACGGCGAATTCGATGACGCCCAAAGGGAATGGTGCCGTCAGCGCGCTGGTCACGCTGCTCGTGGATGCGGTGGATGGGTCGGCCTTGGGCCAGCCGAACGAGCTGAAGAATTTCACGAAGCTTTAGTGATCGAAGCCGCGGCGGGTAGAAGATTTCAGAATAAAGGCAGCTTTGGCGTGTTAGGGTGCGTTCGGATGTCTACGAGCGCGCTTTGCGCCGCTGCAAGTGCCACCCTTGCGACGTTCCCTTGCAGGTGCGGTTGACAATAAAGGACGTGCGCTTCGTCCGACCAACGAGCTATTGCTCCTGGGGCGGTAGACAGTGCACGAGCGGCTAGTAATGTCCTCCTGATCCACTTCTGTAACTCTCTGATGTAACGTATGGCCGAATGGTGCGCATTTTTATCACAAGCCTTTACCCTGGCATCACGACGTTGAGGCGAACCATGGATCTCAACGCCGTAGCCGCAAACATATATGACCCACCCTGAAAGCACTACCACCGAGCCCGCCGCAGGAGGGTGAAGGTTGTGGCGATGCTGGGAGGCAAAAGGTCGAAAGGGAAGAGTAAAACGCCGACCAAGGGGGAAGATTCTGATGAATTATTCGTGCTACAGGTTGAGGTGGTGGATGGGTCGCCGCTGGGCCAGCCGAGGGAGCTGAGGAGTTTCGTGATTGGCTCCCAAGTACTATACTATTGACCATGTAGACGCGCTGACAGGATTCTTCTTGCTCATGGGCTAGAACAACTTCTTGGCTAGACAGTGGGGTAGTGAGTGAAGGGAACATGGGACATGACAGCTAGAACAGGATTTCCCTCTATCCCTGGAAACTGATTTTTGTTGTTACATATACAGGATGCATTCTCTTTTTGGAGTGTCCACGAGATTGCACAGCACAATGGGACTGTCCTTACCAACTGGGTTGCCACGAAACGAAGCTATTCCTTCAATTACTAGCAGCAGCACACCATGATCATGCTGCAGTGCAGATAGTGGCAGTTAGAACAGAGCCGCTGAGCTTCGGAACCTCAACTCAAAACGAAATAACCAAAGAACAAGATAAGCATATGGCAGCTGTTGCACAAACAGCGAACAGCACACCACTTCCCCAGTCTTGCTACCCGAATTCCCCAATTTGCATGTACGGTACTAATTCTCACACCCACCCTCCTCTCTTCTAGCCCACGCCTGTCCCCACTTGCATTTACACTTCGATATACAGGATGGGCTGCCAATCCCACCACCACCTCAAGCCGATGCTGCCTGTCCCTCCCGCCTTCACCGCCCCTGCTACAACCAGCATCCCTTCCCCTCCGCTGCTACCGTCACCTCTTTTGCCTCCAGCTCTTCTCTTGAAACCGCTCCTCCGAACCAGTAGTGAGTACATGCTGAGAGCCACGAGCCAACCAGCAACCTCCAGCAATAGTTGTAGAGGGCGCACTGCAGATGGGTGGGGGAGGGTGGGGGGGGGGGAGGGAGGGGGAGGATGGATGCAGAATGGTCTTAGTGAAAGATTAACAAGGCGAGGTAAGGCATGGCAGAGAAGGCAAGGTACGGCACGGCCAGTCAGCGGGATTATGCTTCACATGAAGCGCAACAGCGCTCTCCTCTCTTTTCCCTTTCTGCTCTCCAGCATTGGCGTGAGTGGGAGCACGCCAGGTTCCCATCCTTGTGCCCTCATCTCTTACATGTAAGCAGCTCTCTCAATCACATCTTCTGTGTGAATCTGACACTCGCACAGTGGACCGTACCTCACCTGTGCCCACCACTCTGCACCGCGTCATCTCTTGAGCGCCCCTCCAGCTGCCTCCGCTGCCCTCTGCCGCATCATCTCCTGCACGGCCTTGCGCCGCCTCGACTCCATCTGCTGCGCCGACCGCCTGAAATGCTCCTTGAGATCCCTGCGCGTGGAGAGATTAGATTAAGGGTGACGAGAAACAGCTTAAAGAACAGCCACAAAGCAAGGCAGGCAGAGAGCAGGGCAGAGGATAAGATGGTTGGAAAAAAAGATACCATCCAAAAGATTTGATTCCATCTTATACACGAGACTTGACAGAAAGAAGGCACAGCAAACCTGTGGACCAAGCAGGACCGAGCCTTGCTCCTAAATCCCCCCACTGCTACTGCGCAAACTCACTTGCAGCGGGGCACTTTGCAGAGGCTGTCTTTGCAGGAGCGCGCGTGCAGGTGCAGCAGCCCCCACATGCGCTTGCAGTGCTGGCAGCCCCCTGCTGAGCGCACGGCACAGATGGTGCCATGGCGGAACAGCATCTTGACCATGCTGCACTTGGGGTACGTGCACACCGTGCCCGGCTGGGGGCGGCAGGACGCTGCATGCGCCAATAGCTCCAACATCTTGCGCACCTGCAGCGGTGCAAGGCGAAAGGAGGGAGGAGGGGGAGGGAGGGAACAGCATCTTCACCATGCTGCACTTGGGGTACGTGCACACTGTGCCGGGCTGGGGACGGCATGATGCCGCATGCACGAGTAATTCCAGCATCTTGCGAACCTGTGGGGGCACAAGCAGAAGGAGGAGAAAGGAGGGAGGGAGGGAGGGGAAGAGAAGAGAGCATCTGGTCTGGACCATGCTGCACTTGGGGTATGTGCACACTGTGCCGGGACATGGGCGGGCGACAGGAGGCTGTGGACCCATCTCAACACCCCCCACACATCCCCACCCAATGTTCTTCCCTGCCACACTGACACCCAACCCCCCTCACCTAAGTGTCCCCCACCCCTCCTCACCTCCTTGATGCGTTGCTGCCGGCCCTCCTGGCTCTGTGCATTCCTATCCGGCTGGCTCGCATGCGACACCAGCGGGTGGGGGTGCCCGCACGTGTCCTTGCACTGAGCGCACACGTCATAGTCCGGACACTGCTCGCACCGCCACCCCTGCCGGTTCTCTATATCCCGCTGGCACGCGTTGCAGGTGACGACAAAGGCGGGCGCGGTGGGGTTGTGCAGGTGGTACAGCACCATGAGGGACGAGTGCTTGGCGCGGCGCAGTGTGTCGTACTGGTAGTGGTTGCCCTGGCAGAGCGACAGAAACGCCTGCCGCGTGTCAAAGAACTCGGATTCGACCACTTCGTCCGGGTCCTTAGTTTCCGGGGGGACTGGCGGGTCGATGGGCCTCTGCAGGCACACGGGGAAGGGGGAGGGGTGCGCAGGGGAGAGGGGGGAAGGGGTGCCGGGGGGGGGGGGAGGGGGAAGGGGGGGCAGAGGGGGAAGGAAGGGGGGTTGTGCAGGTGGTACAGCACCATGAGGGACGAGTGCTTGGCGCGGCGCAGCGTGTCGTACTGGTAGTGGTTGCCCTGGCAGAGCGAGAGAAACGCCTGCCGTGTGTCGAAGAACTCGGATTCCACCACCTCGTCCAGGTCCTTGGTTTCTGCTGGGACTGGCGGGTCGATGGGACGCTGCGGGCGCATGCAGGAAGGGAGGAGATGCACAGGGAGGAGTGGGGTGGGGAGAGTGGAGGGGGAAATAAATTGGAGATCGAGAAGGCTGGGTTGACGCGGCACAGGCGGAGGAGAGAGAGGTGAGCAGGCAGTGGGGATGGAGAAACAGGAGAAGCAAGGGGAATGCTGGTTTTCAACAACTAGACTCACACAAACGAGCCTGAGGTTGTGGTTCGGATTGTCTCAAGCAAAACATTCACGGGGTTCCTCCAGTTGGTGGTTCGGGGTGCCTGCAATCTGATCAGAACACTTAGCAGCACTCACGGGTGTGAGTTGAGAGAGAGCACTCACGGGTGTGAGTTGGTGAGCCTCTCTGAGCAGCACAGGATGGCGGTCCGCGGGGCTGCGCCGCTCCTCCTGCGTGAAACACCTGCAAGGGCGGGAGACATGAGCGCGAGGAGAGGAGAGGAGGAATGGACGGGAGGAATGGGCGGGAGGAGTGAACGGGAGGAATGGGTGGAGGATTGGGGGAAGGAAAGGAGGTGAGGAATGGGCGGGGAGGGTGGGAACGCTGGGGCAGAGAGACGGAAACAGCAAGGAGGAGAGAAGATGGACGAGGGAGCACGACCACAGAGGGAGCATGATCACAGAGGGAGCATGATCACAGAGGGAGCATGATCACAGAGGGAGCATGATCACAGAGGGAGCATGATCACAGAGGGAGCATGATCACAGAGGGAGCATGATCACAGAGGGAGCATGATCACAGAGGGAGCATGATCACAGAGGGAGCATGATCACAGAGGGAGCATGACCACAGAGGGAGCATGATCATGGGAAGGAGGCAATGAGGGGCTGTAGACAAGGGCAATAGGCGAGGGAGGGCAGTGGAAGAAGGTAAGGCTGAAGGGGAGGGAAGGGCTGCAGGGACGGGAGGGTAGCAGGAGGCCCACGAGTCGCAGATGTTGAAGTGCTTGCACTGCGGCTGCAGGCACACCCATCTGTTGCCGCTGATGATGAGGAGGATATTGGTAGAGGACAGGGCAATATAGGCGGGTAGGGAAATACGGGACAGCAGTAGGGGAGGCACTTACGAGTCGCAGATGTTGAAGTGCTTGCACTGCGGCTGTAAGCACACCCATCTGTTGCCGCTGATGATGAAGTTCTTGCAGTGCGAGCAGCAGTAGTGCATGTGCACCATTATGAAATCCTCCTTCATCTGCAGTATCGTGCTGCCCAGCTGCAGAGGAGGTGAGGGAGCGAGGGAAGCGTTCTTTGGGATAAGCCAATTCAAAACCATCCAGGCCTATCATGTCAATAGCCCGCAAAGCAAGGCGATAGGCCATGTGAGTGAGTGGAGGCAGGCACTAATGCATGTGCCCACTACAAAATCTTCCTTCATCTGCAAAATCGTACCTCTGGAGGGCCAAGGCAACGGGGAGAGACAAAGCCCCCCACCCCGTCCCTCTCACACCTCTCCTCTCCCCGCCCTCTCCTCCCGCCTTTCTCTCCTTGCTCATGAGCTGCTTAACCAGCGAAGCGGGACTCCCCAGGTCCTCATCGTTGCGGTTCTGCCCTCTCCCCCTCTCCCCGGGTCCAATATCACCACCCCCCCTCCTCCCCCCCTCCCCCACCACCCCTCTCCCCACCTTTTTCCTCACCTTGCTCATCAGCTGCTTGTCCAGGGAAGCAGGCGTCCCCAAATCCTCATCTCGCCCCCCGCCACCACCTCGCTTGCTCGAAGCGTTGCTCTTCTTGGCCTTCTTGGGCCCTTTCCCCCCGGCCTTCCATCTATGCACATCCCTTACCACCCTCTTGTCTCACCTTGCTCATCAGCTGCTTGTCCAATGAAGCCGGAGTCCCCAGGTCCTCATCCCTTCCACCTCCGCCTCCGCGCTTGCTCGAAGCCTTACTCTTCTTGGCCTTCTTCGGTCCCTTCCCTCCGGCCTTCTCCTCCTCTCTCTCCTCCAGCAGCTTCTGCAGCTCGTCCTCCATGGCGCCCGGCCAGTAGTCCCCAGCTCCCCACCCACTCCCTTCCCGAACCCCCCATCCCACCTCCCCTGTCTCACCTTGCTCATCAGCTGTTTGTCCAATGAAGCCGGAGCCCCCAGGTCCTCGTCTCTTCCCCCTCCGCCCCCGCGCTTGCTGGACGCCTTGCTCTTCTTGGCCTTCTTGGGTCCCTTCCCTCCCGCCTTCTCCTCCTCTCTCTCCTCCAGCAGCTTCTGCAGCTCGTCTTCCATGGCGCCTGGCCAGTAGTCCCCAGGCCCTCACCCACTCCCTTCCCAATCCCCCGATCCCCCCATCCCCCCTCTCCTGTCTCACCTTGCTCATCAGTTGCTTGTCCAGCGACGCAGGAGTCCCCAAATCCTCATCTCGCCCCCCTCCACCACCCCGCTTGCTGGACGCTTTGCTCTTCTTGGCCTTCTTGGGCCCCTTCCCTCCGGCCTTCTCCTCCTCTCTTTCCTCCAGCAGCTTCTGCAGCTCGTCCTCCATGGCGCCCGGCCAGTAGTCCCCATCGAAGTACGGCAGGCGGGCAGCAGAGGGCAGTGCGCGGCACTCGCCAATTTGCACAAAGAACGTGTCGTACAGGTTGCTCACCTCCACCACTATGTTCTCTGCTGTGGCTTTCCGCAGCATGGTGAGGTACCTGGTCACGGGGATGGGGAGGGAGGGATAGAAGAAGGCACGAGAGGCGGTTGAAAGAGACGAAGGTGTCGTACAGGTTGCTCACCTCCACCACTATGTTCTCTGCTGTTGAGGGGATGGATGGTGAGGTACCCGGTAAAGGGGATGGATGAAAGGGAGGGAAATGAGGGACAGAGCCATTTCAGTTTCAATCGTGCATTTTCGAAGACACGGCTGATGAGGGTCGACCACACCAAGAAATACTCACCAGCACTGAATTGCTCAGTGCACCACTCACACACCTTATTTAACAGCATGGCATGGCCACATGTTGCAAAGCAAGCAACATACCATGCGTGCAGCTTGACGGGTTGCGGTGTCTTCTGGATCTCGGGATGGCAGTACAGGATGTAGTCCTCTCCCTTGAGTGGCGGGCACAACCATTTGCGCAGACAGAGCAGCATACCACGTCCTCAGCACAGCTAGCAACACACCATTCGTGCAGCACAGGTAGCAACATAACATACCACTCGCGCAGCTTGACAGGTTGCGGTGTCTTCTGGATCTCAGGGTGGCAGTACAGGATGTAGTCCTCTCCCTTGAGGGGCGGGCACGCCCAGATGTAGCAACTCGTGAAGCCACGCATCTTGGAATACTCCAGGTACCCGATCTGGTGAGCAGGAGGGAGTTGGCGGTTGGGGTTGGCGTGTAAGGGAGTTGGTACAGGGGCAAAGAGGGAAACAGGAGGGCAAAACAGGGGCGTAGTCTTCTTCGCCCTCGAGCAGTGAGCACGCCCAGATGTAGCAACTCGTGAAGCCACGCATCTTGGAATACTCCAGGTACCCGATCTGGTGGAGGGGGAGAGGGAGAAGAAACCGGCAGAAATAGGAACAAGGGGAGGCGATACGAAATGTAGTCTTCTCATTCCACTTTGTTTCCTCCTCTCGAAACACAGACATGACGGTGCATTCGCAAGTCACTCAACCAGTATTTCGTGGCACACGAATGTTGGCAGAGCCTCCCCGTTGACAGTGCGCACGTCAGGGCGGAAGTACTTGATGGAGTCGAGGTAGGAGAGGTAGATGCGGCGCTTGAATCAGGAGATTCAACCCGCACCTAGCATAGAAGCACACTCACCAGGATCTCGTGGTACACGAATGTTCTCAGGGCCTCCCCGTTAACGGTGCGCACGTCAGGGCGGAAGTACTTGATGGAGTCGAGGTAGGAGAGGTAGATGCGGCGGTGGTTGGGCGGCAGGCAGTCGGCACCAAACTCCTGCACGTACATGGCGTAGAGACACACCTCCACGCCCTCTATGCGCTGGAATAACAGCACCACCTGGTAGTAAAAGGGGGGGGGGGAGGGAGTGACATGCAAGAGAGAGAGAAGAGATGAGAGGGACGGGTTGGCCCCAAACTCAACTCCTGCACGTACATGGCATAGAGGCACACCTCCACGCCCTCTATGCGCTGGAATAGCTGCACCACCTGGTAAGCGGTTGTGGGGGAAGTGGGACGGGGGGAGATGGAGGAGAAGCGGGAGTGGGTGTGAAGAGAGGGCCGACTGGCATAGACGCCCTCCTCCACCCCCAGTATGTGCTGGAACAGCAGCACCACGTGCGAAGGGGGCATCTCCGATCACTTTGACTTGAGACAGACAGTTATTTTTCCTGTATCACATTTGGCTGCCTTATAAGCTAAATCAAACGTCAACCACAAAAGATGCCCGTCCCACCTTTGACTTGTAAGGGAATTCCTTGGGGTATTCCCCCTCGGGAAACATGTTAAGGAAGCGCGGCTTCGTCTCCATCTTCTTATCCACTGATGACACCACTCGGATCACCAGCTCTTCCGCCCCCTCCACCTGCACAGGCAAACGATGACACGCAAGGTATTAGCCACGTGACTCATGAATTGCCTCAAGGCTCTCCATCCATCCTCTTGTCCTCAAAGCTCTCTCTACCCGCCCTCTTGCCCAGTGACGCAGAAGAAATCCAGACACCATTCAAACCACCATTACCCCCTCCCTCCGCCCCCCCCGGACAACAGCAGAGGAAGTCCAGAAGGAAATAAAAGCGAGCAAGGAAGGAGAAACCTTGAACGCTCACCTCATCCGGTCTCTTCCTCTGCTGCCTGGCCCGCTCCTCCCTCTCCTGCGCCAGCCTCTTCGCCAGCCGCCCCTCCAGATGATCCGAGAGGTGCGAGCGCGGCAGGTCCCTGGCGCCGAGCACGGTGGAGGGCGGGAGGGGGGTGCGCTGGCCGCGCTCCATCTGGTCGCAGCAGCACAGCGGACACGTGTACTCCGCCTCACCCTCGTTGCGCCGCCCGTTGAACAGCGCACACACCTGGTGCACCCACCGGTCGCACGTGTCGCATTGCACCCACTGTTAAGGGCGGCACATAAGGTGAGCGGGGAAGGGGGTGGAAGAGAAAGGGGTGGAGTGAGGGACAACTGTCACTGTTGAACAGCGCACACACCTGGTGCACCCACCGGTCGCACGTGTCGCATTGCACCCACTGTTAAGGGCGGCACATAAGGTGAGCGGGGAAGGGGGTGCAAGAGAAAGGGGTGGAGTGAGGGACAACTGTCACTGTTGAACAGCGCACACACCTGGTGCACCCACCGGTCGCACGTGTCGCATTGTACCCACTGGTGAGGGTGGGGTAGGGGCAACGGAGAGAGGCAAGGGGAGGGGCAGGGGCAGGGGCAGGGCAGGGCAGGGAAACGGCGGGCACCCACCGGTCGCACGTGTTGCACCGCACTGCATCTACTGGTGCGGGAGGAGCAAGGGAGCAACAGCAAGGGAAGAGTGAGAGACGAAGGCTACCAACATACCTACAGATTGCGCATACAAAGGGAAGGAGGCGGGAACAGGGAGAGCAGGTTGGGGAGGGGGAGCCAGCGCGAGATCAAACGGAGAACACCAAACAGGAGGACAAGGGAGAAAGAATTGCACAAGAAATGCGCATACCGCTTCCTCTGTCTCCTCGTCATTAATCCTCTTGGTGAGACTAGCCTTGGGAATCGGCCTCAACCCCTCCAGGGTAATCGCATCCCCTCGGAAGTCCCCATAGCACCGGTTGCACACGCACTGCCGCTGGTCGCCTGCTCCCGGCGTGGCGTAATACGCTTTGTTCCTCTGAATCCTGCGCCCACACGCCGTGCAGTAGATGGGCGGCGGGTCAAAGAAGAGTTTCTCCACGGAGCACAGCCGGCAGTCGGAGTCCCGCGGCTGCTGCTGCTGCAGCTGCTGCTGCCGCCTGCAGCTTCTCCTGCTTCTGCTTGCTCTGCCCCACCCACTGCCGCAGGCTCCGCACGTGCAGCCGGATCATCTCTGGGGTGAAGAGCTCGGTTAGAGACGTGCCCACGCCCTTGCTCTTCATGTTCTTGTTGTTCGCCGCTGCTGCCGCCGCTGCTGCTGCTGCTGATGCTGCTGCTGCGGCTGCTGCTGCTGCTGGTGGTGACTGCTCCCGCCCCCCCTGCAGGTACAAGCGCCTTGCTCTCTTCTGTCCGCGGCTCTGCCTTTACACTCGCAGCACCTCCACCAGCACCACCCGCGCCAGACACACCTGCCCCAGTCCTACCCTCCGCCTTCACCTGCCCTGGCCCTGCCCCTGCTGACCCTACCCCTCCCTCTTTCTTCACTGCAGCGCTACCAGCAGCAGCAGCAGCAGCAGCAGCAGCAGCAGCAGCAGCAGCAGCAGCAGCAGCAGCAGCGCCTTTAGCCTGTGCGCCTGCTCTCCCTGCCAGAGCCCCGTTGGCACTTCCCTGCATCTTGCTGCCAGCAGCCTTGCCTGCCTTGGCATCAGCAGGCCTCTCTGGCCTCTCCTTCTCGCCACCACCAGCACCACCACCCACTCCTCCTCCTGCTGCAGCAGAAGCAGCGCCAGCCTCTGCTTTCACGCCTGAGCTCCGTTTTGGCCCACCACCTGTTGCCTTAAGCCCCCCACCCCCGCCTTCCAGCTTCGCCCGTTTCAACGGCTGTGCGCCTGCCCCCTTCTCCTTCTCCTTCTCCTTCTCCCGCCCTGGCTCTGCCATCCCGCCCTCCCCACGCCTAGCTCCCTCATTCGGCCTCTTCTGCCCTGTAATGGCCGGCCCAGCACCGCCCGCAGCACCAGCTGAGCCTGAAGCCGCTGCTGCTCCTGCTGCTCTGGCAGCACTGGCAGCAGCAGCAGCACTGGCTGCAGCAGTAGCACCACCTTGCGTTGGCCTCTCCACAGACCCTGCTGCCCCTGCTGCCCCTGCAGCAGGACCCAGCGGCATGCCTGAGAGAGGAGCGCCAGCAGGAGAAACACCAGGAGCAGAAGCTCCATTGACAGATCCCCCCTTGGCTGCGGCTGTGTCATCAGGTACAGGTGCAGATGCAGGCTTGGCGGTACCTGTGGTGGTGACAACCGGCACTGCAGTGGAGTGGTCCCTCTGCCCGCCTGCAGCAGCTGCAGCATGAGAAGCGTCACCATTCACTGCAACCGCTCCATCTGCCACAGACACTGTCGTGACTTGACCATCAGTGGCACCTGCCTCTGCCTCGGCCTCTTTCCCTTCCTGCTGTTCACTCCCAGCACCAGCAGCAGCCGCGGTGGCAGCATCAGCGGCAGCCTCGGCAGGAGCAGCCGCTGCAGCCGCAGCCGCAGCAGCAGCGGCAGCCGCCGCCGCCGCCGCAGCAGCTGCCGCATTCGCTCTCGCCGCCAGCATCTGCTGCTGAAACGCCCTCCTCACAGGCCCACACACAGGGCACTTGGGGTCCCGGCAAATCTGGTGGTGGTGCAGAAGCTTCCTGGAAGGGACGCAGCGGGGGTAAGCGCACTCAGGGTCCTTGCAGCGAAAGCAGTGGGCCCAGAGCTCTCGAAACACTCGGCAGTGCGCGCCAACGTTGCAGGAGCCATTGGCAGCGGTGCAGCGGGATGCATGGCGCAGCGTGTGCAGCCACTTCTGCTGCCGCTGGTACTGCATCGCCCGCTGGGGGTCAATCGCGCCGCCTCCTGCTGCTATATCCCCCGCTGCTCCCGTCCCTGCTCCTGCTTCCACCAATGCCCCTGCTGCCGCTCCTGCTCCTGTCCCTGCTCCCGCCACTGCTCCTGCCCCTGCAGTGGCTTTGGAGGACGGTTCTGCACTAACCTGCACGCCATTCTGCACTGCACCTGTAGCTCCAGAACCAGGTGCTGAGCCCGACGGCTGCTGGTGCTGCTGCACTTGCTGTGAGCTCACAGGCCCTTTCCCCCCTTGCATCCGCTGTGGAAATCCCGCGTTCCCCTTAACCTGCGGGTGCGGCTGCGGCTGCTGGCGGGACTGCTGCTGATGCGCCATCACACTGCCTGCACCACCTACGCCAGCAGCACCAGCACCGACACCGGCACCGGCACCGCTCACAGCAGCACCGTCCACCACAGCCCCACCAGCCCCACCCGCCCCAACCGCCCCACCTGCAGCCCCCGCCCCAGTAGAGGCGTCCTCGCGAGTAGCAGAGGCAGTGAGACCCCCAGCGTCCATCACAGGAGGGCCGCCAGGCGTGGGAATCATGAGCGACGCGCCACCCGCCCGACCTGCCTGCTCTGCTGCCACTCCCGCCCCTGCTGGGCCAGACGGGATGGAAGGGCCTGGCGGCAGGTACCCTGGCATCGCTGCAGACAGGGAGAGAGAGAGGCGCAGGGAGAAGGGGATGCGCAGGGAGGAGGGATGCGCAGGGAGAGGGGGGAGGCGCAGGGAGAAGGGGGGATGCACAGGGAGGGGACGAATTGCAGGGGGGGAGGGGAGAGAGTATAAAAAGAGAGGGTGGAAACGAAAAGAGCGGGTTGAGAGCCAGTAAACATGGATTAGGCAAGAAGGTGAACAAAACTCTCACGGAATTTGGCAAATATCTAGGGAGGGTGGAGGACACGCAAAAAAAAAAAAAAAAAAAAAAAAAAAAAAAAAAACACACACACACCGGCAGCAAGGGGGTGTAGAAGGGAAGGGAGGAGGGGGAGGGGGAGGGGAGGGGGGGCAAGAAACCGCAGGGAGGAAACCATGAGAACTTTGAGAGCGAAGAGCACACAAAGTAACACGGTTTCAGAGAAACTCACCATGAGAATCAGTGGTTGGTTGTTGTTGCTGCTGGTACATGTGGTGTGGTTGCTGCTGTGCTTGCTGCTGCTGCTGCTGAAACAATCCCTGATACGCTTGCTGCTTCCGCTGCAGTCCCTGCTGCCTCTGCCCCTGCCCCTGCTGCTGCTGCTGCTGCTGCTGCTGCTGCTGCTGCTGCTGCTGCTGCTGCTGCTGCTGCTGCTGCTGCTGCTGCTGCTGCTGCTGCTGCTGCTGCTGCTGCTGCTGCTGCTGCTGCTGCTGCTGCTGCTGCTGCTGCTGCTGCTGCTGCTGCTGCAGTTGCGGTTGCGGCTGTTGCTGTTGTTGCTGCTGCAGTTGCGGTTGCAATTGCTGTTGCTGCTGCTGCTGCCCGTACTGCCCCCCGTGCTGTTGCCATTGCTGCTGCCTCTGACCCTGTTGCCCTTCCTGCAGCATCGCCTGCTGCTGCAGCTTCTGCTGCTCAACTTGCATCTGCTGCTCCGCCTGCCGCTGCTCCACATACCCCTGATTGTTCCCACCAGAACCAGCCAAGCCACCACGTTGCCCCATCCCTCTGCCCGTCCCTCCCCCCACACCAACAACCCCCACACCTCCCTGCACTCCTGATCCTGACTCACCTGTAGCAACTCCACTTCCCTCTCTCCCTCCTCTCGCCACTGCTTGACCAGCGCCCATAGATGCCCCCAACGCAGCACCCAAGCTGCCAGCCGCGCCATCAGCAGCAGCAGCCATGCTTGCACTCGGACCCGCCACCAACCCTGATGCGGGCATGCCGTCCGAACCAGCGGCCCAGGTTTGGGATCTCAAAGCATCAGAATTTGGTAGGCCCGGTGTGGGAATCATGGCAGGGCCTGATGCATCGGCTAAGGTCGGAGCAGACGCAGAGGCGGGGTTAGAAGTCAGGCGGTTGTTGGGAGCGGAGGGAGATTGAAATGTTGGTTGTTGTTGTTGTTGGTTGGGCAGCCGGCGTTGAAATTGCCCGCCTTGCTGCACTGGCTCCTGCTGCTGCGAGTGCTGCTGCTGCTGCAGCTGTTGCAACTGTTGTTGTTGTTGCTGCTGCTGCTGTAATTGGTGCTGCACCGGCCGATTCTGCGTGAATTGTTGTTGCTGTTGCATTGAATGCTGCTGTTGTTGCTGCTGCTGTTGCTGTTGTTGCTGTTGTTGCTGCTGTTGCTGCTGTTGCTGCTGCTGCTGCTGCTGCTGATGTTGCTGCTGCTGAGGCAGCGGCTGCAGCGCGGAAAGAGGTTGTGATTGCGGTTGAGACATGAATCCGGGTTGGCCAACTCCTGATATCATGTGAGTCAAGTAGAGAGCAAGCGAGAGAGTAATAGTGATTGATAGAGTGAGAGAGAACAAAGAGAGAGGTAGAGAAGGAAAGAGGGGCGAGGGAGAACGACAGCAAATGCAAATACATTGCAAATAATGAGGAAGTAAGTCACAGATGTGCGTACCACTTGACATCTGCTGCTGGAGTGGTTGACCTGCTTGCTGCTGCATTTGTTGTTGCTGTTGCTGCAGCTGACGCTGTTGCAATTGTTGCTGCTGTTGTAGTTGTAGTTGTTGTTGTTGCTGCGGTTGCTGCTGCTGCTGTTGTTGTTGCTGCTGCTGTTGTTGTTGCTGCTGCTGCTGTTGCTGTTGCTGCTGCTGTTGTTGTTGCTGCTGTTGTTGTTGCTGCTGCTGCTGCGTTCTGGTAGACAGGAGCCTAGCAGCAAGCTGCAGTCGTCGCTCCAGAGTGCTGAAATCGCCATACTCCTCCTGCACCACAACAACACAGCGCACAGCATCGTGCGGCACGGGTATGAGAAACAAGCGGCAATAACTCGCAGGAGAATCTTACAAGCGATTAAAACAATGAATAGGAAATCAACAGGAGCAAGAACAAAAGAGACCAAGGCTCGGTGAATAAAAGTGACGAGATTGCCTCCACTCCACCAAAAGGACGGACGGAGGACAGCAGCGGACGTGGCAATCCGAGAAGCCAGCCAGTGAAGAGCGCTAGTCTCTCACCCTCGAATTCGCCGTTCGGTAGAGCACTTCCTCCAGTTTGCGAACGAAATCCGTCAGCTTCTCCCGATTGTACTGCGACGTCGCTTGCGGATTCCTCGTCTGAAATAGTTGCATGCTGCAGACGGTAAAGGGCAGGAAACGCAGTGAACCGGGAGGTAAGAATCGGAATTGAGCACTGCATGCGATTGATTTCGACGACACGAAAACGTCACGTGTCGGTTCGAAACGGAGAGAGAGCGCGAAGCTTACGTCCTCGCGAAGACGCTGTGTCGCAACTGCGTGTCCTGGTCTGGTTTCCGCCATTGCGTCGCCGGGTTCCCCGCCGACCGCTGCATGGGAGCAGCGGTCTGCGCCTGCATTTTCCCGGCGCCTAAGCAGCCGGATACCGTACCCTAGCAAACAATAGCGCTCTTCAATCCCTACGAAACTAAAATAGGATCTCAAAATACACCACAGGCAAAGTATAAGCTTTCCGTAATCAGCGGGTTACATGGCCTCCTTTGACTACGAAACGGTTTTTTTCCTAGTCAGTATCAATGAGATAGTTCTACGCAGACTAAAAGGGCACAAACTTATTGATCCTAAGGCCAGGAGCCTTCAATATTGCTTTCCATTTTCCCATTTTTCACGGCAGAGCAGCCATGGCTGCTGATAGCACGAAGCGGAGCAACAAGGTGTTTCAGGCATCGGTAGGCGAAGAGAGCTGCTCCGCAGAACGCTGGGGTGGGGAGCGGTGAGAGGCGTGGAGCAGAAGATACTCCCGAGAAAACAGATCCACCGAACCTGACGTCGCCGTTTCGCGAAATGGTTACGGCGGTTAACGATTTGCCGGTCACGAAAACCCTGCTTCTGCTGTCCCAATACTCTCATCAATACATTTATAATCTGTTACACTAATTGTTGGTAATCAGGTCTGACATTATCAAACTACGGTATTTCTGGACAAGTGCCTTCAGTCTAACATTATTGCTTTAGCATGGTATTTTTTTTTTTTTTTGAGTGCGAAGAATCCTATAACCTGTATTATCTGTTACAATGTAGCATAATTACGCAAGGAAAAGGAGTGGAAACGGGAAGAGAGGAGAAAAGGAGGAATAACGTGAGTAGAAAAAAGGAGAGAGGAAGAAAGAAGGAGGGGAATAGGGGAAAAATGATAGGAGGAAGAAAAACAGGGAAGAAGGAAGAAAAAGTAGCACACACAACCCCAAGAAAACCCCAAGAAAAATGATAGGAGGAAGAAAAACAGGGAAGAAGGAAGAAAAAGTAGCACACACAACCCCAAGTATTTTTAGTGAAAACTAGAGTGCCTTCACCATGTCAGGTAATTGCATGTCAAGTCAATAAACAGCTTGATTCTTTGTCACCACACACTAAGCAGCAACTTTCTTACCAACACGCACACACTAGATGTAGGCATGATGTCTGTTTAGTGACTGTTTGACAGCTACCTATATGAAGTAATGGCCTGTTGTGAAGTGCATGCATGTTTTGAATCCAGAACTCTATAGACTCGCCCACTGCCAGTGTACAGATGCCCTGTTGAATCTCAAGGCCAGGATGCAAGGATAGGCAGGCTGCTGGTGCTGGACTGGGGTGCTGTATTTTGGATGGCTGAGGCTGGCGTGTTAGCTGGTTGGCTGGTAGGGTGGAGTGTTCGTTGACTGGTGGCTGCTTTGCTGATTTGCTACTTGGCTGCTTGTCCGATTGACCGATGGCCCGGCATCTATGGTACTGTACCATTTCAGTACCGCACTTCGGGTCATGAACTATCTGTGAAAACCCTGCTTCCTGCCAGTCCCTGCCATCAACACTTCTGTGTTGCGGGTTTGCACGGCTGCTCGGCCCCCACGCTTGTTCTGTATGTGCATGCATGCTGCATGCAGCGCGTGCTTCAGTGTCCTGCCTGCGTTTCCACATTCTTTTCACCACCCCACTGCGTGGCTGCGTGGCACGGCACAGCACCTGCTTGGCTGTTTGTGCCCTGTTTGTGCACCTTCAAGGCTGCCCTGCCCACCCCTCCCACCCACCTATTCCACAATATGCAGGCCAATCCCATCCCAGCCCGGCACAGCACAACACACCTACGCAAACCTAAGCACACCTAAGCAAACCTTGGCACACCTAAGGACAGACAAACAAAGAAAAGCACAGCGGTCTGGTTCATCTTGAGCTCTTGGTGGTCTGGTCGGCCCACCGGCAAGCGGCAGCCCACCCCACATGTCCTCTGCCTCGCCCTGCACTTCACTTCACCATAGAAGAGAAGAGCCACTTACGAGGAGAAGCTACCATCGGGACAGTAATGGGACAAGGAAGGAAGAAAGAGAAAGAGGAGGAGGAGCCACTCAGAAGCTGCAGGAGTGAAGATGATCAGAGCCCCTCGGATGCTGTCAGAGGCAGCATTGGGACATGGAGAAAGAGCAACGCTCACATGCACACACACACACAAGTACTTTCCAGAAATGACAGACAAGACAGAACGGCACAGGAGAATACATGAAAATGGCGAATGCGGAAGTGGAGTGGCATGGAAGTTGTGGTCCACTCACAAGTGCGTGTGTGCTTGCTTGCCACCATCCCGCAGTTGCTGCAACCACTGGTGATCCCTCATTTCTGCATCCACTGGTGATCCCTCAGTTGCTGCATCCACTGGTGATCCCTCAGTTGCTGCATCCACTGGTGATCCCTCAGTTGCTGCATCCACTGGTGATCCCTCAGTTGCTGCATCCACTGGTGATCCCTCAGTTGCTGCATCCACTGGTGATCCCTCAGTTGCTGCATCCACTGGTGATCCCTCAGTTGCTGCATCCACTGGTGATCCCTCAGTTGCTGCATCCACTGGTGATCCCTCAGTTGTGCATTTGCTGGTGATCCCTCAGTTGCTGCATCCACTGGTGATCCCTCAGTTGCTGCATCCACTGGTGATCCCTCAGTTGCTGCATCCACTGGTGATCCCTCAGTTGTGCATTTGCTGGTGATCCCTCAGTTGCTGCATCCACTGGTGATCCCTCAGTTGCTGCATCCACTGGTGATCCCTCAGTTGCTGCATCCACTGGTGATCTCTCAGTTGCTGCATCCACTTCCCCCCTGAGTGCTGGAGGTGAGGGGAGGAAGGATGGCAAGGGCAAGAAAGAGAGGCGTGAGAGCAAGGAGAGGAGAAGCGAGTGGATGAGAGGCTAAGCATGTGAAAGAGCACCGACAAGCCAGAAGAGATGGCAGATGGCAGCTGGAAAAGCGACTGGGACAAGAAGCAAGGCAGGATGCGTTCGCTCTGCTGGTGCATCGTCACTCTACGTTACCTCTTGTCCTGAAGAAGCAAGCAACAGGAGGCAGCTTGTTGTCCCCATCCCACCGACGGACAGACAAGTTTTCAAAGCACAACGCACTCCACGGCTTGGAGCCTGAGAGACACACGCACATGCACGCACCCGCACACAAGGACAGGCGCCGCCCCCCCACCCCATCCCCTCCCTCTCCACCCCCCTCCCCCTCCTGCTTTCCATCCCTCGCTCCCCCCCGTGCCTCACAATTATGGGGAGAGAAACACACACACACAGAAGCGGCGTAACAAGGGAGGGTTAGAAGCAGCAGGAGAGGAGGCAAGTGGCAAAGACAAGAAAAAAAGAGACGACTCTTGCCTCTGCGCGGCGACACCCTACGACTCAATTCACGGCCCCCCTGCAAGCACCCCCTGGCACGTAACATTACTTCGCCGCTCGCCCAGTTTTGCACCATGCCTTCACCTCAGGCGTTCCCGTGCTGCCATTGCTCTCTGTCTCGCAGGCCACAAGGCACACACACACACATGGGGGGAGAGAGACACACACACATGGGGGGAA